ATGTGTGGCAGAATGTGTGCGCCGATGAGATTCAAGCAGTCACATCCATAGGCCCGGGCCCCAGCTGTCGTGGCTTTTAGCGAGCGGAAAGAAATTGTTTCCTGTTTGGGGCCCCAAACTGCTGTGTGGTTACGGGTAAGGACCTGCCCCAGGACTTTGCTTTGCAGCGTTCCGCTCTGTCTTGGCACTCGCTGCAGCCTCACAAAACTTCACGCGGCAGTCGCCGGTCATCAGATTAGGGGGCCCTGCCCTCGCAGGATGCGGAGTTGCTGCAAAGAGGCATTGCCGCGGGCTGCAGTGAAACAGGAGGCAGGACACGAGAAACACAAAAGAGAATCTTGGCAGTTGCCAGAGAAAGAGGTTTCGTGATTCCTGCTTCGGCTGAGGCGTCAGACAGAAAACAAGGAAGATAATCACGAGAGCTCTAGCCAGCTTTCCTTCAAGGACTGTGCTCTGAAACGGGTTGCGCAGTTGCGTTTGCACGCTGAAAAGACTGACCCAGACCACAACGGCCACTGGAACTTCGGATGGGGTGTTGGGTCACAAAAGGCTGCGCGGGCCATTGACAAGGGGTACAAAGCAGTAAGCGATTTTGGCCAGATGTTTGGGGCATATAGACACTTCGAGCTACAAATTGTGGTTGTTGTACTGCATGCGCCCCTCAAGTGAGACCGAGAGGCTGAATAGCAATCCTGTTCGTGCAAGTTGGAAAAGACGCTGCCACGAAACCACCCTTTCCAGGCTGCCAAATCGTCATTGGCAATACCCAAGGAGCGATCCAAAATGCTGCTCTTGCAGCCAATTGCATTAGTTTAGGCCTTAGTTCAGCCTCAACTAAGAGGGCGACAAGCGGGGTATTTACAGGGGTAGATATGTTGGTCCTCTCTTCTTGTTATGTTTCTACTTCTGCTTCTCCTTTTCCTTCTCTTTTTCCTTCTCCTCCCATTTGTTTGATTCCCTTCTTTATTGTTTTTTCCTTCTGGATTTCTTCCTTCTTCTCTGTCTGCTTCTTATTCTTTTTCTAGTTTCGCATCCTTCTTCTCCTCTCCTTGGCGTCCTCTTTCTCTTTCTTCTCCTCCTTCCTTTTGTTCTGCTTCTTTTCTCCTTCTTCTTTTCCTTTTCCTTCTCCGGTCTTCTGATCCTTCCCCTGTTCCTTGTCCTGTTCCTCCTCCTCCTCTTCCTCCTCCTCCTCCGTCACCTTCTTCTCTCTCTCTCTCTCTCTCTCTCTCTCTCTCTCTCTCTCTCTCTCTCTCTCTCTCTCTCTCTCTCTCTCTCTTGCTTTCTTTCTCTTTGTCTCCTTTTTCCGAATGCGTGCTGAAGGGTTCCTGTTGTTAAAGGGGCCTGGGGGTCAGGACTTGTTTGCAAGACGTGTCGGTGTGTCGCCTGTGGAGAAAGTTCCCGTGCCGGTTGGACGTCTGCAAAGCGTCTCTTCAATGAATTCCGAAGGGCTGTGTTGGTAGGCCCTGTGCGGAGATCGTTGTTCTTCGCACCCCAGAAGTCGCTGGCGCTTTTTGGATCCCAAACGGCGAACGAGCCCTGACCAGGTCTGGGCCTACAACGGCAAGCGTGGGAGAGACCTCATGCCCCCAGCGTTCAATTGGAAGGCGCGGCCGGAAGTGTTGTAAATATCAAGCAGTGGAGCGAAGAAAAGCGTCAAAGAAAAGAACATGGACATTTTTTTTGTTGGGAGGGAGTTTGGTCTTTCACTTGGTCTTCAATTTGGTTTCTGGTGTTCACTGATATCCTGTCCGTTAAGATACTCTTTGCTAACCAAAAGACTCTTTGCTGATCTTCTTGGCACGTCCCCGGGCACGGCGAGCTGGACTACAAGCTGCAGATCACCTTGGGCGGCGACCGCCGGGACGACGACCGCCGATCGAGATGAGGGGCAGGGGAAGAGGAAGACGAGGAGGAAAAACAGAGGAGGAAGACGACGGGGAGGTGGAGAAATAAGGGCCCCTAATTGTGAGTGGAAGCCGACGCTCCAGCCGTCCCCAGCCGTCCCGGTCCGGGTTGAGCCCAGGGCCTATTGCCCGTCTCCTGAGCAGATCTGTTGCCCGCCTCTTGAGCAGATGGTGCCGGTGGAGACTGTGAATCTTGCTCTGCGATGGACTAGGGATGAGGAGGACGCAAGGGGCCATCGTGAAGTCCCACCAGGCGGCACAAGCGTGGGCGAGGTTGGATTGGGCTGTGTTGGATTATGTCTGTTGGGTTGTGGTTTGCTGGGTTGTCTTGGGTTGAATTGTGTTTTGCCGGGTTCAGTTGGGTTGTATTGGTTTCTTCGGTCGGGTTGTGTTGGTATGTGCTTGGTTGGGTTGTGGTGCGGAGGGTTTTGTTGATTTGTTTTGGTTTGGGGTATGATGGTTTGCTTTTTGTTTTGTTTGTTGGGTTGTGTTGGACTGGGTTGTGTTTGGTTGTGTTGGGGTGTGCTGTGTTGGGTTGCTTTGGAATTGGTTGGGTTAGGTTGGCTTGTGCTGTGTTCGCTTGGGATTTGTTTGGCAGTGTTGGGTGAATTTCGGTCGGTTTGCGTTGTGTTGGGTTGTGTTGCGCCGGGGTGTGTTGGGTTCTTTTCGGTTGTGCTGGGTTGTGCTGTATTGGGTCGTGATTGTTGGGTTGTGTTGGGTGGGTACTGGTTGGCTTGTTTTGGGTTGTGTTTGCTCGCTTTGATGTTTGCTTGTTTTGGGTTGTGTTGGGTTGTTGCGTTGCGTTGGGTTGCGTTGCGTTGTGTTGGGTGGGCATTAGCTGAGTTGACTTGTCTTGTGTTGGTTTGGATCGTGCTGGGTTGTATTGAATTTGGTTTTGTTGCACTCCGTTGTCTTGGGTTGCGTTGGGTTGCGTGGGATTGGGCAATGTTCGGTTGTTGTGTGTTGTGTTGTCGTGTTGTGCTTGGTAGTGGTGGGTCAGGTTAGGTTCTGTTGGGTTGGGTCGAGTTGTGCCCGGTTTGTGTTGGGTGAGGTTCTGTTGGATTGGGTTGCGCGGGGTAATGTTCAATTGTGTTGTTAGGTTGGGTTGTGCTGGGTTGCGTTAGGTTGGTTTCTGGGTTTCTGTTTGTGTTAGTTCTGTTGATGTATTGATTTGGGTGGCGTTCGTTCGGGTTGTACTCTGTTTGGTTGTGTTGCGTTGTGTTGGGTTGGCTTGTGTTGGGTTTGGTTTGGTTGGGTTGGGTTGTGTTGTGTGTGAATTGGTCGTGCTGTGTTTGGTTAGGTGTTGTTTGGTTGTGTTGCGTGTGGTTCGGTCGGGCTGGCGTGGGTTGGGTTGTGGTGTGCTGTGTTGGGTTGTCATATGTTGGGTTGCGTTTGGTTGGGTTCGGCTAAGTTGGGTTGAGTTGGGTTGAGTTGTGTCGTGTTGGGTTGGGCGACTGTTTCACCTCTACCGATGATCCGCCCTGTTGGGTGGTGGTGTGTAGGGTTTGTTGCGTTGGCTTGGATCCGGTCGGGTTGTGTTATGTTGTGTTGTTTTGGGTTTTACTTGGTTGCGTTGGGTAGTAATGGGCCGGGTTGAATGGTGTTGTTGGATTGGGTTGGGTTGTAATTAACGGTTTGCGTTGGATGGTGAGTTCAACGTCGTTTCGTTGCACAGGCACGGTGTTTTGGAAGGTTGCGCGTTCGCGTTGCCGTGCCATTTGCGGTTTGGCTTTCAGGGGTGGTCGTGTTGAGGTGTCTTGCTTCGAATGCGCGCGCGCAAACGTTTGCTCGACTGTCGTTTTCGTTGGTCCTGTCGTACAATCGGCTCGTGTTGGTGAGCTTGAAATTCGCAAAGATCTGTCGAAATCATTGTGGCACCACAGTCCCGCGCTAGTTTTGGACACGCGTCAGGAACGTGTCAAAGTTGGATCTTGTGACACGTGCAATACTTTGGACGATTTTGTGGCGGTAGCTCATTTCGCGTGACATTCTCAGCACTTTAGAGTTTTTCGTTCAAATTGCGCGCAGGCGAAGCACTTCAGAGCTTTTCGCGCAGATTTCGTGGCAGGCGCAGTCCTTTGGAGCCTAAGTGTAGATTTCGTGGTAGGCGCGGTATTTGGGCTGTGGCCAGTTCGGCGGTTGCAATCTTGCCAAGTGGTTGGGTTGGGTTTGCGTTGGGTTGGGTTTGGGTTTGGGTTGGGCTTGGGTTTGGTCGGTTGCTTAGTTTGGGATTGGTCGGTTTTTAGGAAATCCTGAAACACCCTGGGGCAACCGTACCCACCCCTCCACACGCGGGGGGTCAACTTGCCATCAAAGGTGAGGAGGGCGGGGCGTTTAGACTTGAACCATTTGTATCAGCAACTATCACAGGATTAAAAGTTCCCAGTTGCGGTTGCTTTGGCAAGCCAAGCAAACACAAATCGTATCAAGCTGGGTCTCATGTTGGACGTGTTGGTTCTGGAGTGCGCAATCATGGAAAATTAAATTAAGAATCCATGCAATCTGTGGAGGGCCGGCTTTCTAGTTTTATATTGAGCAAACGGTCATATGGAAATACAGTGTTTTTGTCGCGCCTGGCACGGGTCTTCCCCAATCAGCATATTGTAGCGTGGAACACACGCCGTTCTAGCTGGAGTGAGCTGCACGCAATGAGTGCGGTAGTGGGTGGTCTTCAATCTCGCGGCCACTGCTGAAGATGGTGTTCAGCTACTATACAATTTTCTTGATGTATGATCGGGGAATCCACCGTGCCAACATGCGAGGGCGTCTAGCGAACATGATCGCTGGTCGCTCAAGATGGTTTATTGCCCGATTGATTCATCAAGCATCCGTTTCTCAAGAACGTGGTGCAAGCCGCTAGCCGATTTTAGTGGTTGCGAGCTTTCACCGAAGCCGACCTTTGCACCCAGCAGGTTTTCCAGCGGTCTACTTTGAGATACTTTGAGTCCAGTTTCCAAAAGCTGTTCCGAGGCAGTCATGGCACTCAGAAAAGGCTACCCTCCCTCCCACATGGAACCGCCAGAGGCGAGGGCACCTCCAGGAAAGTGGTCCTCCAGTCAGATGCCCGCAGCGACGAGTTCTTCTCGGCTCACTGAGGAGAGCTGGCACAGGAGCGACGTGCCCGTGAACTGCTGGAGGCCGATTAGAAGTTTTTGGAGATAGCCACATACTGGGCTCAGGATTGTTTGTCTGTTTCTACGGAGGTAGGTCAGTATCTAGGATGTCCCTACCACATATCAGGCGGAATTGGGATGTTCCTGCTGTCCTCTGTTTGCTGGTATGGCTTGACGGGGCAGGGAATTTTTGAAGAGGTTCCGACATCAGTGGATCTGAGAGTTTTTGGCACGCTTCTCACATGCATTTGTCATCATTTGTTTATATTCTACCGGATTCATTGATCGAGCATGGCCATAGGAAGCATATCTCGATGGTGTCACGTCCCTATCACTGGAGACTTGGTCTACGCCACCTGGGTATGGTGCTGGCGCTGCCGCTTCCCAGGTCCGGATGTCCTCCCTGGAGGAGGCGTTAAAGCGAGAGCACTCCGAGCGCGAGGCGGGGCTGACAGGTGATAAAACGGTGCCATTTGTTTTTTCTGTTTCCTTTCAAAGGCCATATCCTTGCCCCAGTTTGAGGTTGGCCCCAACATCACTTGTTGGGCTTTCCTGCTGTGGATGGTTGCGACATCCATTTCGGCACCACCCGTTCAGAAACTCTGGAATGATGTCAATACCAACGTGCAATGGTTTCAACCATGGTTTCAAAGTGGTGCAGGATTTTGTTGATCCACAGTAAGTTCCCCGACCTCCTTGGTTCCCAACTTTGGTTTAGCTTTCTGGGGATGAAAAACGATACAGCCCGGGTAAGTTCCTTTGGCTTCCTCAGCCGACCAATGTCGGGGGACGTTGATCCTTTAGTGGCAAGTCTTTTGACCTTTTGCAGATGTTCAAACCAGTTAATTCGTATGCTTTGGTGCCTCCCATCAAACCTGCATGGGGTGGATACGTGCTATATGTTGTCCGGCGAATGTCAAAGCAAACAACCGACTGGCTGAACCTTTAGTTCGATTGCAGCACCTGGAAACAGAACCCACCACAAATATCCCCCCCAACCCTAAACCTCAACGCCCATCCAAAGATACCCCCTAACATCCCGCTAACCATTGAGGCTTTGTTTTTGTTTTATTTGCCAGACAACTGTCAAAAGAGCGTTTTTCAAAAAGGGTAGAAAGCGGATTGACTTGTCTGGGATGTGTTTTTTCCAACTTCCCGCCTTTAAAACAGAGGTTCAAGCTTCGGTGCGTCCGAAGTCGGGACAGGCCAACATGAAGTCCTTCTCACAGGACTTAGAGTCAACGATGCGAGGCGGAGTGCTTGGGTTGGCAGGGATTGTCGTCAACCTCTTGGGAATTTGGGATAAACAAAGTACCCTCCCGCCAACTGGAAAGTAGTCTTTCCACAGGGGTCTGTGCACTTCCATGTTAGTCGGTGGCAGGGTAACGGTTTCCGAGAACAAGAACATATGCGGTATTTGCTTCCCATCAACTGCAACCGCACGCTGTTGAGGATGCGATTCTCAAGTCGGATGAGCTTCTTTTCTGTTCTAGTTCTAGATGACCATTTGCTGAAGGCTGGGGTGGACTTAGGATACATTTTACATTTTACCAGTGACTCAAAGTGAAGCAAACAATAAATATACATTCTATAACTGGGCTTAACTCTAATCATGAAGGGGTCAGCTTCGGATCTCTTCGGCACTTTCTCGTTCTCGACTGGGCCAAAGTGCCCGATCCCGCTCGACATGCAGTTCACCATGACTGACAGAGGGAGTTTTCAGCCAGTGCCCGTTGTCATTCTACTTCAACACCTTTCAACAAGCGGCTTGCAGACCTGTACCATGGTCCAAAGACTCGGGCTTGAGGTTAATTGGAACCCTGGATTGCACACCACACGCTTGCTTCTGGAGGAGACTCCCTCAACAAATCCACTGGAGGTTGACAATCCGGGGTCAGGGTTAGGGATGGTCAACCTGATGCACCTGCTGATGGGGATTCAGCCAACTGTTTTAGGGCGTGTTGGGGGACCACCGTGACCACGTTTGACCTAAAATGAGCGAATTATCGATGGGACTTGTCCCTTGCCATGAAGGTGGTTTGGGTGAAAAGGCGCGAATCCTTAAGGGTCAGGGTTCTGGGACATGCTAAAGTTTTCGCTCCACGGCATGGCCCCGCAAGGTTTATTTGTTTGATGTTGTTGTTTGCAGGGAACTATTCCATGTTTTGGGAATTGCCAACACGTGGATGAGCTAATCATGCAGTAGTAAAGGCCCGTCCCCAGACAGGGAGGACACAAAACAGGGACTACACATGCTAGGTCATGGCCCAAACTACAGCAGGTTGCAGAGGCGAGTGTCCCGTTTTGGGTTTTGACCAGGCTGGTGTTGTTTTCTTTGGGAAACGCGTGAGCCCAGAGCTTTGCCAGGTCTGATTGGCCGCGGGCTAAGAAAGTTGTGCGGAATCGGCACTCTCAGGGGGCTTGACTCGTTTTGATCTCCAGATTGGAGAGGCTCAAAGTGCCATGTATCATTTGTGTGCGAAGAAGTCGAAATTTCTTGCAGTTGGTCGCAGATTGTAGCATTTCCGGCTTAGTCAAGAGTTGTTTTTGCCAAGGCTTCGCCAAAAAGTAGCTGCTTTGGGCCCCTGGACACGTTTGTCATAGGCAGCTCCATTCGAATTCCATGTCCACCCCCTCAGTTGGGCATGAACGACCTCTTAAAGATGGTTCCCAAATCACTGCCCAAATTGGGAGAATGAATGTATACAAGAAGCAGTGTTTATTGTACATACGTATCATGTGTATGTCTCTATTAGTTTAGGGACCACATAGAGGCTAGGTCACATAGGACCCCTCATCTGGCATTGGTGTACGGGCATGAACTGGTTGATTGACATCAGGTCCGTGGTCCCAGGTCGCATAGACGATGGCCTGTCTTCTGGAGCAGCATCAATGCGTGACCGCACAGACCAGACTGAGGCACGGAGGACGTTAGGGGGTGTTGCGTGCCGCGCGCGTGTGTAGCTCTGTTTGTGTGTGTGTGTATGTGTGTTTGCGTGTTTGTGCTGTGTTTGTGCCTGTGTTTGTGTCTTCGTGTGTCTGTGTGTTTGTGTGGTTTGTGTGTGTGTGTGTGCGTGTGCGGTGTGGCGTGACGTGGTGTCGTGTCGCGTCGTGCTGTGCTGTGCTGTGTTGTGTGGTGTATGCTGTGTGTGTGTGTCAGTTAGCCCTGCATTTGCTGCCCCAGGGATAGCTTCAGGTTGTTTCCTGAAATCAGCAAGCCGTCATGGAGTTTGAAGGGAACTGCAGTCCCTGATTTCGAGGAACTCAGTTGTCCAGTGGCTCCAATTCTTTTTCCCTTTTTTTTCTCCAGGGTCACTGAACCACTGAGGGAATGCCTGGGGTCCGCCTTCGCAGCCTCACAGGTCCGCCTTCGCAGCCTCATCAAGCGCGTGGACGAAGGCGAGACGCTGATGTTTGTTTGATTGGGCAGACAAGTCTGTGTGTAACTGCTGACTTCTTTCAATTCTTGAGGGTTGATCATTGAATGGGAAACATTTCATTTGTTTTTTGGTTTTCCCCACTGGTCATCCAATGTAAAAGACCTTTTGATCAACCCCCCCTTGTGCCGGACATATCAAAATGCCCACCTTGCTATTGATACCATCCGGATTTTCATCGAGGCTGACGGCCATAAAATTCAGCTTCAGATTTCAGGCCTCACGGCTGGGGCGGCAGCTTTGCAGGACGGAAAGGGAAGAGTGCTCAGAGTTCTGAGAGCTTCCCCAGCAATTAGTTCCCTTTTTTGATTTTTGATTTGGGCTTTTTGGGTCATTGTTTTCCACGAACCAGGCAAGAATATGTTTTTTTTTGCTGGGGTCCTAATTCCAGCCAAGATAGCAGGCCAGCGTGTGTTGCAGCGATTGGTGTCAACTTGCCTCGGAAGTGATGTTCTGTCAGCCATTGGAGGAACCAAAAGACCCCCTCGAACCTCGCCATCTTGAACCCATCAGTCAACTTTTTGGGTGGTGATTGATGTTCAACAATTGGACCCACGCGATGACTGAGACTGAAAGTTCTTGTTTCAGCGGAAACGAGCATAAATATGGCTGTGGGTCAAAACCAATGGTACCATTTTGGAGTAGGTGCACCACCCATTTTAGTCTATTTTAGTGGGGATTGGGATGCTTACTGAGGGTACGATTTGGCTTTTGACACATGGCCATATATGTAGAGGAAGGCTGGTAGGACAAGAGAGAGGGCTTATGCAAAACACGCTCGCACTAAGCATAAAAAGCTCACCTGCCAACATGGAATCACCCTTTCTTTTTGGTCCCTTCAAGATTTCTTTGATTTAGGTTGGTGAATGGGAGTTGGTGCAAGTTGAATTCAAGGTTGTGGCAGCCCCGGGATTGGTGCACGGAGGTTTGTAGCTTCAACTCCATCTTGCTGGAGCTCAGCAGGGAATGAGAAATGGAATGACCACTATAAACCATCCAACTGGTGGTTTCATCTATATAAGGGGACCTCCAGGTTCATTGGATTTCTCATTCCCTACTTATCGCAGCAGCAAGCAATCTCAGTGGCGAAATCCCCAGGACAGCTTGAGTCAGAGTGCCAACGGGGCCGAGAAGCTCCCGCACGGATGCCCGGCGGCAACTGCCTGTTGGGAGCCAACTGCACTTGGGTCTGTTTTGTGTTGAGTCGCTAGCCCTTTTTCGGTGGACCCAAAGATCGGAACTGCCAGGTGGGAACAGAGCCTATCGCGCGGGTGGCGTCACCTGTGCTGTGACAGTTTATATGTGTGTTTTTATGCTATGTTGTGGATGTTTCGCGAATGTGCAACATCGCCACCTTGGCAATTAGCATGTACTAGCTGATTGATTTGGCGGTTGTCAAAGTGATTAGTCTCGTGTGTTGTTTCTTCACCCTTGCTTGCGCCTCCGCATTGCATAACTTGTGTGATTGCGCCAGCCAACAAAGCTGACCGGTCATAGCTGTTCAAAGGCCATCTTGAATTGCGGAAGCGGAATGCGGCTGATGGGATGAGGGCTCGCTCAAAATCAGCGCGCCAGTGCTAAATTGACGCGAGGACCCTCTCCACTCATTGACTCGCACTGGCGCTGACCAATGTCATTCTAAGAAAGCAATGCTCAACAGAATTGCCAGTTTGGACATGTCAATCCCTGCACTGTGCTGTATCATCTGACTTCATGGCGGCTTCCCGGAGGATCACTTCCATACATTTGTGTGTGTGTGTGTTTGTTTGTTTTTAATGAAGCTTGAACAATGCTTTCTTTTTTTATGGAGCTTGAACAATGCTTTCCAGAGATTCGCATAGAACGCAACCAACATTTCGCCTTTTGTGCGACCCCCTTTTGGGTTCCATGTTGATTAGCCGGGAACATGCATCGACACGTCGGTGGTTGACTCAACGCGACGTCCTGCCCAGGGAGCGCTCAGTTGGCCGAGATCGCTCCGCTCCTTTGCCAGCAATTTGATGCCGGGACGGCTTGTGCTTAAGCAAGACAGCTCCGACGAGTTAAAGGCCAAGCATCACTCACATACCCGACGGAAGGGAACTGAGGGACTGGGTTTGGTTAGTACGCTTTGCCAGAGAGGCACTGACGACCTTGCCAGAAGTAGTACATGGACGATCCCTCACTGTGTGTGTGTGTGTGTTTGTTTGTTTGTTTGTCTTTGCGTTTGTGTTTGTTTCAGACACAGTCTTGTTGGCGCCTGACTTGGGAGTCGCGGCGATCAAAGTGCGCCTGGCGTGGATGCCAGAGATCTCTCTGTTGTCAATTTCGACTGACCTTCTTGGGGCTGGTGACTTCTCCCTATGGCGTATGGCTTTTGTTTTGAGTGCGAGCGAGATTAGGTAGATCAGCTGTGTTCCATGAGTATCATGAGGGCTGAATTGTTTCCGGTGCTGGTGCGTGTGTAATCTGATTCTGTATACAGCAAATGGCAAACGACTTGGTTGTTGCAGCTTGATTGTTTTGACATCCTGTCATTCGCTGAGGCTGCCCCCCGGGGCTCCGTATCGCCGGTGACGCAGCAGCAACAGCAGCAGCAGCACACGCAGCTGCAGCATCAGCAGCAGCAGCAGCAGCCCCAACTGCAGCATCAGCAGCATCATCAGCACCAGCAGCACTCGCAGCACCAGGCAGGCCTTTTGAGAAGGGGTTGGACCATGATGCTAGCCGTGGCTGATGTCAGCTGACCTGGGCAAGTCGCTGCACTTGCACATTGAACCAAGCTTGGCGTGTGTCACATTGCAGCACTTAAACCTACTATACTACATCTATTCCGAAGGCTTGGGAATGCAGGTTCGCAGTCTTTGGCGATGTCCTTAAACACATTGTGGTTCGTCGCAAAAGGCAAAGAGCCAAAAACGGGAAGTTTCCAAAGGACGCCCAACTTGTCTTGAGTTTGCTGACTCCGATGATCCGGTACCGGGGTTTTAGGGGCTCTTGCAATGTCAGGTGTCGATGGGGTCTCAGAGGTCAGCATAGACTCATAGACCGCTACCAGTGTTTTCGAAGATGTGTTTAAAGTTAGCTACCAGAACGTGTGTGTGTGTGTGCGTTTGTGTGTGTGTGGGTGCGTGCGTGCGTGCGTGCGTGCGTGCGTGCGTGCGTGCGTGCGTGCGTGCGTGCGTGCGTGCGTGCGTGCGTGGGTGCGTGGGTGCGTGGGTGCGTGGGTGTGGGTGGGTGGGTGGGTGGTGGGGTGGGTGGGTGGTGGGTGGGTGGGTGGGTGGGTGGGTGGGTGGGTGGGTGGGTGGGTGGGTGGGTGGTGGGTGGTGGGGCGTGCGTGGTGTGGTGTGCGTGCGTGCGCGTGCGTGGTGCGTGCGTGCGTGTGTGCGCGTGCGCGGCGTGCGTGCGTGTGTGTGCGGTGCGTGCGGTGCGGTGCGGTGTGGTGCGTGTATTGTGTTGTGTTGTGTTGTGTTGTGCTGTGCTGTGCTGTGCTGTGCTGTGTTGTGTTGTGTTGTGTTGTGTTGTGTTTTGTTGTGCGGTGTTGTGTTGTGTTGTGTTGTGTTGTGTTGTGTTGTGTTGTGTTGTGTTGTGGTGTGGTGTGGTGTGGTGTGGTGTGTGTGTGGGGGGAATTCACAAGTCCCATCAGCTTCGTGGATGGATCCAAGGCATACTTGGGATCGGGTTTTCCCTCCTTTGAAGAACAGGAATATATATATACTCCCAGACCATGGTGGTGCCTTGTGTTTCTTTCCCATGGCCGCTTTTTGGATCATTGTTTACAACCTTGTGCCCATCCCACAACAAAAATGGAAGTGCACAGACTCCCTTCCAGGAGAACAGCAATTAGTCTTTCAAAGAAGGTCAATGCACTTCCATGTTTGCTCAAAGGGCTGCACTTCAATTCCCACAAGCATACATCATTGGAGTCCCTGTAGCATCCTCGTTGCCCAGTGGCGCCCTTTTTCCTTTTTGTTTGGAGAGGGGTTGCCCTTGAAACTCAACCAACCAAAAAGGATTTGGGCTCCACTCACTCCAATTGCGGGGTGGGGGGGGGGGGTCTTGAGCAATGTGGCGGAAGCAAGCAAAAAGAATCGGATGCCCTTCCCATTCCCAGCGGGCCAATTTGAGGCATCCCCTTCTTGGTGCTTGGGGTGTGGAACTGCGGATGTGATATTCGCCTCCGCCAGGTTATGCGCCAGGCAGGGTTTGGCTCAAACACGTGTCCATGCCTATGGGTTTGCGTTTAGGGCCACGGGCAACTGGGAGATATCGTTGTTGCAATTGCTTAAGTTATGTTTTCCCGTGTTGGGTTGTAAAGGGAATATATCACTAAGGGACATATGCTTATTTTGTCCAGGGGTGTTAGGCAAATGCAAGTTATAATATATCATTGTGTTTGTTCTTCCCGAACCATAGTGCATCTCCGACTCCGTGGTCGTGGGGTCGCTGTTGTCAGGTGACATCATGTATGACTGTTCATTGCTTGGATTGCGATTGCTGAAATCCCAACAAGGGATGTTTTTGTTAGGATATTCCGGGGAAGTGCACCAAGCACGCAAACTACAGCACTTGGAGATGGTTATGCAAAGGATGATGACTACCGGACTGTGTTGGCGCACCTCTTCCCTATGGATCTTGTGTTTCGTGAGGGAAGGGACCAGCGGATTGTCCTGCCCTTGCTCATCCAGTCTTCTCAGTACTCGTAGCGGACAGAGGATGCCTTGATTGGAGACATATGGAATCTTACTGGGAACCCGGGTTGAGCATGTGCTTGACCCAGGGAACCCTTAGGCCATGGCTACTTCAGTTTATCCAAATGGGCGGAATTGGCTTGGAATCTCTAGCCGTCCAAAGCGAACGTTGGCGCGGTCCCTTCCGCCCTGTGCTGATTGGATGTCTATGTCTTGAGTCAATTTGTGAAGCTTATTTAGTTTTGCAGCTTCCTTGGGCTTCCTGCAGGCAATCCCTGGTTTGGCCGCCACTTCAGCTGTGCAAAAGGGTTTTGGAAGGACCTCGCCTTGGTCCAAGGATCGCGAATCCAGCGAGTCCTCAGGTTCCAAGGCCCAATTCATTCCCGCCAGGCGGCGTATGGCATGAGCCGGGCCCTCAGGGGGCAGAGCAGTTCCTCTGGGTCTGAGGTTGCCCCCACCGGCTGTGAAGTGGTTAGGGAAGTGCCCAGGAGGTTGCAGCAAAACTTTCTGGGGAAGTCAAATCGAAAACCGAAAAAAAATTGGCAGGCCGCCTAAAGTGTCAACGGAGCCCAGAGGAGCCTTTAGGGGCATAGCTCGAGGCCGGCAACGCTCGCCGCAAACGAGTCAGGCGCGGGCGGATGCTGGTAGGGGTGTACAGATGGACCCTTTTCCGGCGTGGGGTGTGTGCGTGTGCTTTTATCAAGAAGCCGAAATGGGCTAAGGTGTGGAACGCTACTTGTTGTGGCAACGCAACGGCCGCGCGCACTGTACATGGCATCCAACGGTTCTAACCGGCATTACAGGCACAACTGCGGCGTTCTCGCGTCAAGCGGGCGCTGCGGCTGGTTCTCGTGTTGGCATGATGCGTGGACAGATCTGGGAGTCGTAGAAACCAATTGCAAGAATAGCGACCCTGCAGGGTTCAACTTAATCTTATCTACCGCGATGCCTGCTCAAGGCAGTGCAAGGTCAAGTACACTTCAACTTGACACATGCCATATGTGAGACATTGCAAGAGTACCGCGCAGGGACGACGGGGTGGATCGAAGACGCTGAAGTTTCCCAGTGCTGTCACATGGCAAAACAAACAACATTGGGTTGCTTTGCTCAGGCGATCACCGCAGGTGAACTGGACAAAAATGCTCAAACTGACAGGCTAAACAGTCACTTAGAATCACCATGGTGCGCACCTGACAGTATCTAAATGGCGCGACAAGTGCTCAGACTTCGGCAACATTGTGTAGACACCATTAGTCTATCAACTGTTCATTGAAGTCACGCAGCTGATTTGGATTATGTCATTCAGGGTGTGTAGGATGTCTTCCGTCTTCAAACAATCAATCTGCAACTTGAATCATGCGAGGAGGCAGGTTGTCTTCTTAGCTTCCCAACGACACTGTTTTCCCCATGAGGGTTTCCGGTTCAGCCGTCGTTTGCCTGGCCGCTTGCCAATTTTGCGACGTCCAGGCGCCTTCACATGCGCGATCCCCGCTGCACACGCCCTCCGCTGCATTCCCTTGCTCCTTGCAGGCCTTTGGGGGGTTCAGCCGCGATACCTTGGCTATTATCTTGACTGCTATTGGGTTGGATCTTTGGACTTTAACTTTGTTGGAAATCAAGGGCTTTTCCACTAAACCCCAAAAAGTTAAACTTTTTGCAGGGGGGTCAACAGCAACTCAGTTATGGGCAACCTTCGAGAGATGGTAACCCCTTTACGGCACGTTTGGCCCGAGCGTGGATTCCTGAGATGTGTTCGTCATCAGTCCTAGATCCCAAAACGCTTTCAGGTGTTTGAAATGGGTGCAGAAGGGTGGGCATAATGATGGCCAAGTGTGCGAAGTCGGGAAGAAAGGGGAACATCACTCAACTGTACTCTAAATACCTGCTGCAACTCTATTCTGCTTCTAGTGAAGTGCAGCTGGCTTTCTCACTGGCTAGACGCTTTGAACATCCTGCAATGTACAGGACTTCCAGACGTGCAGAAAGTTGTTGCAGAGCCCAGCTTTTAACAGTGCTAACTCCGAACAAAGAGTATGTTTTGAGCATTGGTCTGAGAACCTTATAGGTTTTCCTGGGTGCGGTTTCTGCAGCGTGAGACCTAGAGAGTGCAGCCACCGCCCCCGCGAAATTCCTGAAACATCCGCTTTTGTGTGGCAAACTTCGGGAACCACCTTGGTGCTTAGGGAGGGGTATCTGCTATGTTTCTGTATGCAGCTATTGAACAATTGCTTGATTCTCTGATTCACTGGTCCATTGTGAAACCCCGAAAGCCGAAAAGCAGAAACGGGGCAATGGGAGTGGCACTTTCAGGAGCCATGGTCAGAACAGCTGCCACAAGGAGAAGTCCTTCCCATGAAGGGCGAAGCTTCGCGCTTCTGTTTTTGTTTGGCCCGTCTTCGCGTTTTGAAGAGTAGGGCTCAAACAGACTGAGCACTGAGAAATAGCAGAAGCAGCCAGAATCCATACACATCCCATTCAGAACATTGAATTAGTCGGAAAGCATTGCGGTCAACACATAATACATGGATTTCAATATGTATATAATATATCTAAATATGTACACATGTTGTGGATGACTTCTTCCCTTTTAGCAAAACCCGCCTTTTTAACTGAGACAGAAGTGGTCTGGTTTGAGACAATGCAGGTCTTTCGTCGTTGGTTTTGAGTCCTCAGTTACTCAACCTTTGCAAGTTGCAAGCAGAAGCCACTTGTATACCCTCCCTCCAATAATCATGAAAGCCAGGAGGGTTTTAGAAGACCGCCTTCTTGAATGGGTTTTCGCCCCCTGTCCACTTCCATTCTTGCACCCCCAAAATGGCGCAACGGTTTTCCTTGGGTTTTCCTCGACCACCAGACAAATTGCTGGTGCTCAGCAGCGAATGGGGGACTGACCCCTATAAACCATGCCTTGCGGTTTTCTTCAAGGGAATCTCCAGGTTCATTCCATTTCTCATTCCCTACTTAATGTTGACAGGATTAATCGATTCGTCCCATTTTTAGGGGTGTTCCCTGCAAAAAATGATGAATTTCCACTAAAAGGGGACACCCGCCTATCAAAAGACAAAGGGTACCAACTCTAAAAACGAGCCGAAAGAAGTCGCCCGCAGGTGCCAGGCACCGGGCTCAATGCGGGGGTGGCCCAGTGGCTGTGCCAATCGCCCATGTTCGTTTTGGGCGTCAAGTAGAGCCGTGGGCGTTGGTGACGTCTGCGATTTGTGCGACTGGGTTGCGAAGTCGCAGCCATTCGGGTCCTTAGGTTTTGTTTTGTTTTTTTGTTTAACCTGGTTTTAGTTGGCTTAGTAGTTGGGTGTCCATTTAACCCACTGAAATTAAACTTTTAGCAGATCTGAGGACAGCCCAGTAAAGCTGTTCTGTCCAACTTGGCTTGACTTGCTTGGCCTGATCGAAACACATGGTTCACTAGCGCATTCTAGTTGAATTATTTGTTTGGCTGAGTGCTCGGCAGTGAGGATCGCAGGTGGATCCAGAAAGGACAGGTTTGTTGTGTCCTACAAGCCATGCAAAGGGGTTCACCCATTGTATGAAACCTCGATATGTTCACTTACACTGACGTGAGGATTGACTGAGGCTCCTGCAATTGCTGCGCATGCAGGAGAATGCAACTTAGCCGATTTTCTGTACATCAGCCAGCTTCCAAGGCTCCCGATTCCGTAAATGATGATAATATGGCGGTGGGTCAAAACCAATGGTACCATTTTGGGGTAGATTTTGACGCAAGGCCATAAAAATGATGTCATGGTGCTACCAGCTGCAGTCACCTCATTGGCAGAATGTCAACAAATGATACCTTCCGTGAAGGCAAACGAGTCTGGGCGCACGCACGCGCGACGGCAACCTCAGGCACCGGGTTTGGGCTATCCTCGGCAGGCGTGGCTTGCGCCGGCGGTGCCTTTGGCTGCCCACGGGTCCTAGTTCCAGCCTAGGGGGATGGCCACGTGGCTTACCACCAAACCCCCAGAAAATGAGCCAATGGGAGGTTGCCATGCGCCAGTTATTTAAAACAGCGTGGAGCGTACTTGCAGTTGATTTCACTCGTCCTCATGCTGCTTCAATCTACCTGCCGCTTATATACACGGATACACGCATGCACGCACGCATGCGTACACGTGCCCGTCGCCCCCTGCCGCCTGCCGGCCCACACGCGCTCCCATGACAGAGAGAGAGAGAGAGGCAGGGAGAGCGAGTGTGAGATAGAGAGAGAGAGAGCGAGAGACAAACACGCACACACACACACACCCACACACCCACACACCCACACACCCACACACCCACACACCCACACACCCACACACCCACACACCCACACACCCACACACCCACACACCCACACACCCACACACCCACACACCCACACCCACACACCCACACCCACACACCCACACACCCACACACCCACACCCACACACCCACACCCACACACCCACCCACGCACGCACGCACGCACGCACGCATGCAGGGCAGTCACCCATTTTCAGGGCTTCCCAATTGCAAGACAACCCCATAAAGGGTGTGGAAGGTCTTCCTCGGAACCATACACAGACCTTTGCCCCTTTCGCTTTGAGATTCCATCCCGGGAATCCCAAATGGATGAGAGTGGCATACCGCTTTGGCCCCGCAGTTTTGGGAGGGCCACGCCCCTGAGTGACGTCGGAAAGAGCCCATCATGCTGCAGCAAGAGAAAGAGTAGTAACAGGGCCAAGATCTTGCAGAGTTGCACGCTGGCATACTGATACTCAATGGATTAATCTGCTCGACCCATGCTCTCCCGGCCTACATTCAAGCTTACAACGTTCAATTGTTGATGTGGTTGCCCCTAGTCAGAGCTCGGAGGCAGAAGCCGAAACGTAAGTGGTGCTTGCAGCCATTCGACATGTTGTATTTCTCACTGACCGGCCGGCTTGGCGAGATCCCTGGATTCCAAAAGAAAGCACTGAGCGAGTCTCACTGGCAAAGGCTGCTTGCGCGCGCATCTCTTGTTGTCGTTCGAACTAGCAAGGAAGCCCACAAGGCTCCCCAAGCAGAGCTTCCTTCAAAGATGTAGATGTGTGGGGTTCCTTGTGTTTTTTGTTTCAAGTACATTTCAACACATACAGTAAGTAGCTTTAGTTTATTTCAATTACGTTTTTTACTTACTAGCTTTTTAGTATATTTCAATTGGTTTTGATTTTCAAGCTTTAGGCAGAAGCTCTTAGATTCGCACAGTCGACTCTAGCGCAGGCTCCCACAGGCTGGGATTCCAGCCGTGCGCGATGGGGGGAATTCGATTCCAGTCGCGAGTCGCAAGCTTGGGCCGGGGCTATGGCCAACCAGTGAGCTACATGATGCACCAAGATGTATCGGTAACATGAACGTTTGAGCTACCACCATCCAACACCCCAAAAAGAAGGAGGCGACCAAATCTGTTTGAAACAAGATCAATTACTGCTTGCAGTCGCGATTGGGACCAGCAGTGCCTCTGGTTTGCACTCAGGAAGGTTTTGAATGGCAATAGGAGGTCTTCAACCAAAGGACCCATCCAAAGCAAAGGCGTGCAGGGGACCAACCACGGGCGCCAATTTCTGAGAGAGAGAGAGAGAGAGAGGACCCAGCCTTTTGCTGGAAGTCTTAGGAACCAACCCCCTCTCCTAGCCCTCTTTAAATAGAACTGAATCAGGTTGCCTGTGTTTGAGTTCAGTAATGTCCCCTCTTGAAAGGCCCTTGAGATTTGAATCAGGTTGCGTGAGGGTGAGTCCAGTAATGTTCAGTTAATCAGCATATGGGAGTGGCTCAAAGTTAAAGAGTCAGGGTTACGCAGGTTTTGGTCTTTGTTTCCGGCCATTTTGGGGATTCCATTTTTTGAGCCACAGCCAAACACCTCTTGCCCTTTGTAGGGGGTCTCCCCAACTCTTCAGAGCGGTCCCCTTCGGCCAAGTGGCCCAAACGCCGTCGGCTCTTGGCCAGGCAGAGTACCCATGGGATGGGCACCCTCACGCTGAGCCGCGCGCCCGCCCAGGCGCGTGTGGGCGGGCGCGCTTACACGCGCCGTGTTTGGGTCCCCGGCGTGCACATGGCCCGGTGGGCAATCAGGGTAGGGGTCAAAAAAAAACGGACACCCTTCAAAATGCCTGGTTTTTCTGTTGACTCCCCCAGACCAGCCCCTAGAAGGGTACCAACAAAAAAAACGCATGCCCAGCTTTTACGTATCCTGGTTGGAAGTGGCCCCAATGTGCAACGATCGGGGAAATGCAAATGACTCGGAGTCAGGTGAGCACCTGCACATCGCTGGACCTGAGAGTGTCTCAACGCGCTTGGTCGCGTGAAGCAGCCATCTCAACTGCCATGCTTGAGCTTTCAAGAATGGGCTTGAGTTTGGAACAGCATTGGCAATGTCCCTTTCAAAAGGAGGATACTTGTTTACGCACTATATGTATAAATGTATATATATATATATATAGTTTGTGGTTCTACGGGCTGGCATGCCACCTGGAGCGCGTCGGGATGCGCAGGGCATCCCAGGCTGAGACGGCAAGTCGCAAATTTGCTAAAAGCGCCCGAGGGATGGCAAGGCTCAGGTTGGTTCAGTTCGATCAAAGTTTGGTGCCTATCCAAAGTCAGAAGTGCAGCTCGAAAAAGCTAAAAAAAGCAATACAGGCGTCGCATAAGTTGTGTGGTGAGAGCACTCAAAGGCCTTTTTTCTTCATCTCTGAAAGGTGATGGCCGACGCGTCCTGGCGTTGGGTTCTTGGCTAAATCCCCGTTGTTGAGTGGCACTCAGAATGAGTGCTTGCTTCCTCACTGTCCTCACTTAAAAGCATGTGCAAAAGGGCTCCCCTTTAGTACCAAGGTCACGCAGCTATCAGCATAGGAAATTCACCACGTCGGGTTCTCGAAACTCCGACCCAGATTGACTTCAACCAAGCCCGACCTGCATCCACGGGGCTGCGTGCACGCATGTGGTATGCGTTCTCGCATGTGCCTTCTTCAGGCGAAGGCTTCTCGCTGATGGCGAGACCCCTCCACTTTGCGATCGCCCATGTACTAGTGAATTCGGAGTGTCGATGCCAGACTCCTTTTTGCCCGACCACCTGCGAAAAGGGGCGCAATGCACGGGTCTCCGTTGGCAGTTTGGGCTGCTTCGCGTAGAACAAATGATGAATGATGGGCTCATGCCAGTAGCTTTGGGGCGTGTCACGTATGGTTTCCAGTGTCCATATCTCTGAATGTGAATTCCTCGACGGAGTAAGTAAACCAACCACAACTGCAAGTCTTGCGGGAGGCAATCGACAAAATATGCAAATAGCGGCCCCTCATAGACCCTTAGCTTTAGGATTTCGGGTCCTGCCTGGACAGAACAGGGATAAGAAACACTAGACTACGAAAAGCCTTGAATCAACACCTGGAATTTGTGAGTGGCCCCATCCACTTCCTTTGACCAAGGGTGTTGCTCGCTTCAACATGCCCTTGCCCTCAACTCAGTCTGTGAATCTCCTTGTGTTGATCTATTCCTGATCCCTCGGACACGTGAAGGTACCACCAGCCAGCCATCTAAGCAGAAGCTAGCTATCATCTCTTGACACTTGGGAACTTGTGCTTCTTCTCAAGAGAGGACGGTCTGCTTCAGCCCGTTTCCCGCACCATGAGCATGGTGAAAGCTGATGAGGTGCACAGCACCAGCGCCGGGCTCCGGAACGGAGCTTCCGGCGCAGAGGATGGCCTGCAGGGCGCAAGCGCTGGCGTCCGGAGCCATCTGTTTAACTCCTTCTTGACGATCGCGATGATGACCACCTTCCTGGCCTACTTCCTGAGCCTGTGGCCAGAAGTTCGGGGAGCTGACACAAGCAAAGAAACTGGTAAGTAGGTACGCAAACAAGCACTCAGACATACACACACAGGCATGCGCAAGCACGCGCGCACGCACGCACACAAACCCTTAGACTGGCAGGCAGACAGACAGACAAGACAGACAGACAGAATGACAGACACACAGACAGACAGACAGACCGACAGACGGACGTCGGACTGTCGGACGGACGAACAGAGAGATGAGCAGACAAGGACAGACACAGACAGACCGAGACATACACGCAGGCACTAGCAGAAAGACATGACTTGCATATGCGTACAGACACTCGCAAATTATGATGTTGTTGTTTGCTCGAAGAAAGTAACTAGGCGCTGCTGCAAACGCTTGGCGACGTGGTAATTTCCTGTAAACAAAGCCATCCCCCAAACTGCCCTAGCCTTGACACATACCCGCATACGTAATCATGAGCGATCGAGCGAGCAGCAGCCCTTGGCAGACTTAGCTGTCGTGGGTTAGTCTTTTGCTTGGTCATTGTTAGCGCGCGCGGAGAAAGTGTTCCATTTGGATTTGACTGAGTTAGTTCTATCACAGAAATCGCAAACACGATTAGAGTTCGGCTAATCCAAGATGTGCAGAGGGGTATGATTCTGTCGTATGCAAATGATGAACCCTTTTGTGTACTGAGATGTTCGGCGGAGAATCATCCTTTTGAGCTGATATCACGCTTGTGTCCATGCGTTCATACTGCAACTACAAGTAAGTAAGTGAGCTGTATGTTGAGGCCTGACTGACTTGCACATCAGGTAATCAATCGTGGCTGAGACCTTATTCCATTTAATGGCCAACATTCCTTCTTTCGGCCTGATAGTTCGTGAACACATCACAGTTGCTTCAGTGATTCAGAGAATGTCTCTCTGGCATCACATTGGATACTTTGTCGCAGGATCGCAAGATCATTTGGCTGTGTCTCAGTATGTCAACCCAGCATGCCTATGTCTTATACAAACTCTTGGCCCCTCCCTCCCCAAATTGCCATCCTCAGAAGCTAAGGATCACACCGTGGCTGAGCACAATTGCTCAGAACACTTCGGTGAGTTTGCAGATAGTGACACTGGTGGCGGCGGTCTACGAGGGCGGAAAGCTCGTCGGCTGTGTCCTGTTCGGCCACTTAGGGGACTCCGGCAACCTGGCCAGAAACGTTTGTGTTCAACATGTGTTTGTTGTTTGCGTTTGGGGATTGAGGAGGCCCTATGGCCCTATTGGACGTTCTTGAGCTTGTCTCCCTACGAACGTGGGGAAATACGTAGTTCATACAGGGCTTAGATTCTAGCACCAAATTCCTTGGTCAGACGAAATGAGCTTAGGCTTGTTGTGTTCACACTGTATAGCGAAGCAGCACCTGAAAGTAGGGCCTTAAAAGTACCTGCGCCGACAGGCCCAGCGCACTGCACATTATGTAGTTTTGCAAGAGCAAGGCATAGAGGCAGTGGCTGTGTTGGTGGTCCATGGTAATATTCTCAGAGCCCTTTAGACTTTCTAGCAAACCAGTCTCTCAGTGTGACTCAACATTGATTAAACTACCATAGTTGTGTTTTCAAGACTTGGACCTATTGTTGTATTCTAATGACTCAACTGCAATACTGGGCGCTTATTTTGCGGCAAACAATCACCAGCGCATTGATCCTTTGTGCCCGTATCGCTTATGTTGAAGCAAGACTCAACTGGCCACAACATCTCCTTACCAGCTGGGCTTTGCGTGTCGTGCGAGGACGGGGCCGGATGGGGTGGGGTGGGGTGAGGTGGGGTGGGGTGGGTGCGTTCAGGTTGTGTCTTGTGTTGGTGTTGTATGTGTAAGCAATAATATGTGTATATATATATATATATTGGTTTTGCTGTTTGTGTGTGCGTGTATGTCACTATGTGTGTACGCACGTTTTGGCCGTGTGTGCATGTATACGTGTACGTGGGTGGGTGGATGGGTGGATATATTATAGGTCGACTGTGTGGAGTTGTTTGTTAGGATCGTTTTTTTGTTGATTTCTATCGTAGATGCACTTCTGAAGCCTCCGCTGTTTGCACTCATCATGCCATACGGGCCGATGGAAGCTCAAGGCAACATCCTGCGGGTGATGCTCGTGGCGATGCTGGTTCTCACCGTCCTGTGCCTTGGAGTGGCACTAGTTTTGTTTGGTCAACATGTTTCAGAAAACCACAGGAAATGTGTTAAAGACTTGTTATAGACAATCCATATGGGACCGGGAATTGATCAAAAGGTTCTAAGGAGCTGCGTGTTCGATAAGCATGGGAGTTGGTTGAGGATGGAGTTGTGAAAATACCTGGCTTTTGTGCGAAAGTGTTTCGAAGCTGTTATTTGTTAAGTCGGTGATATGTGCAAGCAACGAATAATTGCTGCAGAACCCTTCTCCTCTGGAAGCTGATGTGTTTCTGGGAATTCTTGGGTCAGCCCCCTTTTCTGGGCTCTTAGGGGTGATGAAGCCTGGAGAGGTCACAACTTGACATCTTGCTTGCCGGTAGCTCTTGCTCGGCAGCTCAACGCAGCAACGCTTGGGCGATTTTATGCGACCATTCTGCGAACCTTTCAGAGATCCACAAAAAACAGCGTGAAAGTGACAGGAGAAGGTGCATTCCAATCTGGAGCTGCAGAATGGCACTTCGTGTACTTGGGTAGTGACAAGTTGCAGCTTTTGAGCCAGGAGTCCTGGAAAGTTGAGACTTTCTGACTAACCTTGCACGGCGAAAGATTCGCGAAACATCTGCCCCGGGACAATGGTGTGAAACGATTCACCCCAACCTGAGGCCCGGAACAACCAATTCTTGTTGGTGGTTTCCCAAACCAGATTCCGTGATAAAATGTGTGTTGGCGGGAAAGGGTTGTTTGATGAACCAGAAAGAATTGGGTCGTGTTTCCCGGGTTCCGGGAATATAGCATTTGTGGGGTGTAGGGGATATGCACATTGTGTATTGGAGGACCCTGACCAAGCGGCATGGGGCAAACTTGACTTACACACAGGGAAGACAGAACGTTATGTTGCATATCCTCACTTGTCCAAAGCCGACCCCATGTTGGTCCATTTTTTAGCCAGGGGTACAGGTTCATCTTCTATCTCCGGGTTCTTTGGGCAAGTATCGTTTCGCAAGAGTGGTTCGAAGATGTTTGAGGGGTTGGCCCGAGCCTCCCTGCCCCAGGGCACTCGGGGCTGGTTGGGATGATCGCCAACCCCTGGAGTTTCATCCGACTGTAAGGGTTTTTACTTAGCAAAGCAAGCGAGCAATGTCCATTGCATCTGCAAAAGGACCTGAAAGCCCAGGACGCCAAGGGCTCGTTCCACTTAGGTCGGTCATCATGACGATCTTCCTGGCCACAGCTTTGCCCTCTGGACCCTGGGCATTTGTTGTGTTCTCCATCATCTACTTTCTGATCAGCACCTGGGATTCCGAGCCTCGCGTGGCGCCGAGTTTTCCAGGGCTCAGCTGTGGTTAGGATAGCATGGGTGGTACATGAGGTCAAAGAATCCCTGCGCAGGAATTTCAAGAGTTGCCAGACACTTTTGGCGCGATAAATCCGAGATTTGGCAAACCCAGAAGGTTGGATTTAGGCCATGTTTGATCTATGCGCGAATCGACAGTTGCATGCCAGTCTCTACTGGCCAGCCTCAGCATTTCAGCCAGATCCCAGCCTGTCGTCATTTGCGGGTGTGACCGTTGCACAGTGGAAAGCCCAGCGCCTCTGCAGCATGCCTGCTGTTAATTACCTCACCAAGCTGCACGGAAAGCGTTTGCGCGGATCACAAAGCTCCAAGCCAACCGCTCGTCGGTCGCATGAGCAGAGGTATGGCCTCGGTGGCGCCGCAGTTTGGCTTGAGCATCCTGAAGAAGACCAACTCAGCGCATCGCTGCCGGATCTACGTCTTGATCCAGGCACCGCGCGTCCAGACATGAAAAACATGTTGAGGCAGTGCCCCAGACACGTGAACGTTTGGGGTCTAAGTGCCATGTACAATCAGCCTTCAGGGGGTTCTACAGCAAAAGACCTCAAAGGAGAAAGCCCGTGTTGATACATATTTTGGATTGTTCCTGGGCCCCCAATTGCACCGTTGAGCATGTGCTGCCCCTCAGAGCATTGCCAGGCTTGGCGAAGATGTTTACCCTTTTGCGCTTTTGGGTGTTCGTCATAGAATGGTTTGGAAACCATCAACCCCGACATCATGCTGCTGTGATTGCTGCCCGCCCTTTTGCCCTTTGTATTTTCCCGTTCTTTCCAGCAGTTGATGTTTGTGGGACGAATTTTGTTTGCCAAGACAGAAGCACCCAAAAAACCACCTGAGTTGCGCAGGGCATCGTGGCCTGCTTGGCCCAGGGTGCCTCAGTGCCCTTCGGGGATTTCTTGGGATCCTTGATCAGCTGGAAGACGCTCTGCGAGTGGATGGATGAAATTGAAGGGTTCATGAGAAGGTCCTTTACATGGGATGACCATGGTGGAAAGCCACTAGAACGGTTCATATTTCCCACGAAATGGGAGAAGTTACCCAGGGTCATTTGGGGGCCAGGAATATGAATCAATCCCCATAAATTGAAGTGATCAATTCGATCAATTCGGGTTTCCCTGCATTTTAAAAACAAGGAACCCAACAGAGGCTCCATGTCACCGTGTCCCAAAAGGAGGCGTATTTATACACATGATGGTTTTCTGGTTTCTTTGATGGTCGGAGGGGAGTAAGGATGGATGATGAGGATGCATGATATCACTGTGTAGGCCTGGGTTTAGTCACAGCCTAGAAAAGTCAAGCTAGGCAAGCCGTGTCGAGCTCATAAAAACTAGCTCACCCCGGATGGAAAAGTTATGCTTTCGGGTTTCTTACTACAGCGTGGTGAATATGATTCGCGCAGGTTACTGAGAGTTCCTGGGATAGTTGCAGAGCTTCCCTTTTTACAGTGTGGCTGAGCACGGTGCATGGAAACAAATATATTGACTGTAAATTTCAATCAGGCGCCACAGCACAAGTCAATGCATGACGGCGGCAGCTGGTGTTTCGAAAAGTGCGCAGCCAAGGATGGTCCTGCTGGTTCTTGGCCTCTTCGTTGCCTTCATGAGTAGTGTCCTTTACCTGACTGCAACACACGCGCACCTGGATGCGTGCAATGCAAAGCCCAGCGGGTCACAGCAGAGCAACTACTGGAAGACTGCTGGGGGTCTGCTCTTCAGTCGCCAGTATCGGTCCTTCCAGATCTTCATCGTGGTGCTGGGAATCAGCACGGCAAACATGTACCTGATCCCAACTTACGGCATGATGCTGCCTGAGTGGGAGGCTGGTATTGACACGCAGCTCCTTGCCAGCCATTTCGGCCGAACTGTTGACTCGGCGAAATATATTTTGACTGCGGGCCTGACGAGAGGGCGGGTTTGCGAGGAATAATTGTAAGTTGCTTGTGAGAACGAGGAAATGCGAGGCAAGATTTTGATGAGGCAGGGTCACCCACAGTACCTGAGTTTTTGTTGGATCCCCGACAGGGATTGCAGCTATCACTCAGATTAGGCAAGTGTTGCTTCCTTGCCCACTAGAATACTACAGTTCCGAAAGCGGCGCATACCTGGACCTTCCTAAAGCATGGAAATTTCCGTCTGTGCCACAAATTTCCGTCAGCTGACTCTGAGGACCCACGGACGGAAAACAGTAATGGAGGAATTGAGGCAGTTGTTGTTCTTTCTTTACAGCTAGTTTGCGGAGGCTATGTCTTTGCATGCTTCCGTTGCAAAGCTTTTGACCAACTGCCTGCCTGCTCCACTTGTTTTCTATATAACAAAACCCTTTCAGGTGCACCCCCTGGTACCATTCTGCATCAATGCTTTGTGCCAGCTGCAGTGCAGAGGTTCTATAGCGCAAATCAAGTAAGCAGGGTCACACACCTTGTCACATGTTGTCACAACAGAGTATTGCACGCCAACATCTCTCCCCCATGCAAGATTTGACGACTTCCCAGTTGCCCCTGCAAAGAACCTGTCAAACGCAAGACTTGGGGTGTGCGTTGCTTCTAGGACAAAAAACCCTTGTGGCCCGCCCCAGTAGCCACGAGCGAACGATATCTGAACATGTTCAACCAGAAGGGCTACCAGAACATTCACTCAGATGCGCATAAACTGGTGTAAGTCGATTTGCCAACGGCTGCAAGGAGCTCAATATTGACCAACGTTTTGAGATTGCCTACCTGTTGAGCTCTGAGAGCGGCCGGGCAAGGCGGACCTAATTATTTTGCCTCCTTTGATGTGTTCATGCAACATGTTGCAAAGTGTGTCTAACTTTGGAAGACACAAAACAGACGGAAAACGGCGGGAAACGGACGGAAAAAGACGGGAAACGGACGGAAAACAACGGATTCCAATAATACCTGGTGTCTACGGGTCTTGTGGTCGTGGGAACCTAGATTGTGCAAAGCTATGATTCACGCGCTGTGTTCATCTTGTCGCGTGCGGAATCTTTGAGAGCTCAAGCCATGGGTGAAGCTCCTTAGCTGAAAGTCCCAGCAACTGTTTCCTGCTTCCCTTAAAAGCTGTAGACTCAAATACGCAAAGCTACGTGCATCCGTCAAGAGTTTTGGGAAAGCATGTCGAATTCTTATGGGCTTGTGAAATACGAGCATCGAGCGTGGTCTACAGAGACTATTAGGACCCGGCGGGCTGTTTGTAAATAAGAGCTTTGTTGCCTTCATTCCGTGCAGGCTAACAAGACCTCAGCAGCTCCTTGATGGATTGTTCTTGCGCACTTGTCATATATAGCTGCGAAGCAAATGAATGAGGATGCTGTTGGCAAAGCCGCAAGGCTTCCCGCAAACGGTTTTGACCCGCAAGGGCCCTTGTGCAAGCGTAAGTTTCTATGGAGGCAGTTAAAAATGAGCCAGATCTCAATGTTTCGGCCAAAGATGTTGAAGCGGGGCGACGCAAAAGGGGACTGTTCCCTATGTGGGATTGCAAAGGAAGGACGACGTAAGAAACGGACCGTTTTTTGCTGCCACGTACGCTTTTCCGAGAAACGGACGGATTTAGGCGGACTGTCCCAAAAAAAGTGCCCACGGTGGGTCCAGGTATCTCTCGAAAGTTTCGTCCTTGGGACCGGACCGTGACAAGTCTCGCTCGAGGTTTCTTGCTTAAATCGAGGGAACTTAATCCTGGGGAGTTTGGGGTTTCGAGGAATGTGTCATTGATGCGATTTACCCCAAATTGGGTTGTTTGCTTTGGGGAGCTCAACCTGGACGTCCAGTCACCCACATTGTCAGGGGGTTCGCTTTGGTTGTTTGGATGTCGCGAGGCTTGGTTGGGACAACATTCGCACTAGTATAAATTCGTCAGGGATGTAGGTTGAATTCCTTCCAGTCACTCAATTCCTTAAAAATCATCAGCAGCTTGGTTGACCGAGCATCACCCCCCCCCGTTTATGGGGGGGGTGGGGTTTCATTTCAATAAGACCGGACATCCCAAAACAACCACGTATTTATGGGAGGGGGGTGCGGTTTTATCCCGAAAAAACGCCCAGGACGGCCACGTACTTCGTGGCGGCCAGTTTTCTGGCGAACCTCGGCACCCGTTGCCTGGCGCTGCTTTTGGCCTCCCGAGTCAGCGGCGCGCTGTGCGTGCGACTCGGCGCCGCCATCCTGGTGCTGGGGTCCCTGGTGGCCATGGTGCCTTTGGCCTCGGGAAACCAATCGCTCCGACGTGTTCCATTTGGGCCGACTTAGCCCAAATGGACCTATGGGCCTAGAAATGGATTTTGGGCTACCCTGTGTAGCCAATGTAGAACCCATGTATTTCCGCTAGTGTTGAGCTATGGGTATGCAAGTTGGCCCTTGGAGTTCTGTTTGACTCGCCAAAATGGCTCCCTGTTTGAGCTTGTCATAGCACAGTCGCCCGTGGCTTTCCTTGAAGCTACCCACGGGGCGAACCAAAACCTTAAGCCGAGTCTGCTTCAGCCCAAACCCGGCCAAAGCCCCGCTGAAAAACGAGCCTTCAAACAACCCTGGGTGGAGTGGGGCCTGGAGGACCCTACCTGGAGGGCACCTGGGGCATATGTGTTAACACATTATATATAATATGTAGTGTTAAATGATATATACATATAACATGTATAATATAGAGATGTATACATATATATAGAGAGAGAGAGAGATATGCTGTTATTAGACTTATTGTTATTTGTTTGTTTATCATCAATATCATGACTTGTGTTAGTCTTATCTTTAAGTTCTCACGGTTATGATATTGTTATGAGTGGTGGTAGTAGTAGTAGCAGCAGCAGCAGTAGTAATCGCATTTTCACTATCCTTAGTTTCATTGCTTATTTAATATTATGATACTAATTATGTTTTATGATTATTATGCGAATAGCACGCTAGGAAGCCACCTGTCTCTTGGGTGTTGGTGTGGCTGTGCTTTGTGGACTGTGCAATTGGACTCAGATCCTGGGATGGGCTGAGCTGCTGCCGGTTTCTGGACGCTTTCTGACGACAGCGCTGATCTTGCAGGCCGGGGTTGCGTGGGCCTCATTCGGATCCATTTCACAGCGTTCTCGAGAGCTATTTCCCCTTTCTGGCGGGGTTTTCAACATTTATCTATTGGTGCCAATCTGAAATGCGTCTGCTTTTGGTGTGATGTTTAAAGGGGAAATCTAGGGAACCCTGATGATTCAGGCCCATGAACGGAATTGTGCCTTGCACAGCACCCTGAGTTCACTCCGCTTGATGTTGACCCCCCTGTGGGAACCTCTCCCTGTTGCAGGCTGACGTTCTACATTTGCAGACCCATCATGCGTGGCCAAACATTTGTGCTGGTTCATGGAAGAGCTTGAACATATGGCGAGCATGAGGCTGTCAGCGCGTGCTTGCAAAGCCCAAATGGTGGGTTGTTGCTTGGAAAAAACAGCACGCCCATGGGTCATGGGCCACGGATGACGCGCGGGACGGCCAACACAAGGGCCCCCTTTTTGGCATATGTTTGGAGGCAGGAAGCCGCGGTGGAGGGCCCAATGTCAAAGCCAAAACAGATGTAGCTCTATTTTGGCGTTTCACTGGGAGCACCAAGAATGGAGATGCCAACATTTGGAAACATCCCACGTCTCTGCCCTTTGCTGATGGCACGACAAATAATTTGCATTTCCAGGTTTAGTCTTGAACCGTGACCAAGTACCCTCCCACCAACAAACATGGAACCTGAAGTGCGGGCGGTCCTGGTTTGGACCATTTTCCTGTTGAAGGGACCGGGTCTCTGTCAAGTTCCATGTTCATTGGTAGGGGTATCGGACCCAGTCCGCTGGCAGTCCGCTTTGCCTTCAGGCAGGGGTCGGGCTGGCGATGCCCAACTGCAAGGCCTGCGCCTTGCTGGGGGCGCCTCGGCCAAAGATATTCAAGGGGGGGCTTCAAATCAGACGGCGCAACAAGTCGACTTCATTTTTGCATTTGGAGGACCAAACGAAAAGGATCAAGTCCTCACCAAAACGGAAAGTCCTGTTGAGCGCCAAGTTTGCCCTAGACATTAGGCTGACGCTTACGCTTGGCACCAGCACCTGTGGCCGGCCTTGTCCGATACATTGGGCTTTCAGCACGCAGAGGCCCGGTTTTTTGACGCTGACGAGATGTGGCTGTTCTCTTTTGCAGTTTGGAGCCACGTAAGTTGCTGGCAAACCCCACTTCTGAGTTCTGACCATCAATCCCCCTTTTGAGACTGGGTGAGCCAACAAACGTGGTAAGTGCGGGGGACGCTTTGTGGGAATGTTTGTTCGATCGTGTCAAACATTGAACTTTCACCCTGCCGATTGCTTACACTTCCTATGAGAGTTGGGTACAACCCCTTTCTATTTATGAGGGAGCTGTATTTTGCCCATGCTAATTCGCGTTTGGCAGGCTTGGGTGGCATGAGCTCATTTGCACAGACCAGTGTTTTTCTCCGAGTACTTGTTTATTGTAGTTTCTGTTTCAAATTCCCGCAACGCCTAAGCAAGGAAAAACGCCCGCAAATGGCCGCACAACGCCCGCCAAAAACCGCACAAAGCGCACATCCACACAAAATGCCTAAATCGCCTAAAACGACTAAAACGCCTTAAATGGTGAAATGAACGGGAAAAAGTATGCAAAGGAATGTCCAGGGATGTTTGTTTGGTCTTGGTCAAAATGGCACCTCAGGGCCATGTTTGCTTTATATCCCAAACAGCTACATCTGTCTTTTGTCGTGATTCACCCCACATCACACCAAAAAATGCATTCAGAACTTGTTTTGCCACATACCCCCTGCGGTTGTGTAGCTTTGGGCCTGGCGCGGACGCTCCAAGGTGCCCAACGAAGTCAGCTCCACGGCGAACAGCTTGCTGAAGATCGCGCAGCTGCTGTTCACTGTCGTGGCGCAGCTGCTGCTCGGCAGCAGCTCTGTTTGTTGGGTTTTTCTGCACGGGTCCAAGTAAGTCATGAGGATGGCTTTTGGGGGTAAAAAGGGGTCTAAGTACCTGCTTTTGGAGGATGGGACCCTTTGCGAAAGCAAAGTGGGCTCTTCGTTTTTGTCCCGTAACACAAGGCAGGTAAGGCAGACAAGGGGATTTATTGGCCATTCGCTGTTGGATTATCTGCGCCGCAGCTGAAGAAGAGGCATCAGGCTATGGGTTACTCTTTGCTGTTGGGAAGGTCTTTTGTTCAGGCGCTGCTACGAGTTTACTTCGGGTTTCCAGCTGTTCGGACATCGACTACCAGGAAGGCAAACACGCAACCGAGGCTTGCTACGGTGAGTCACTGCGAGTCTTCTTTCAAGAAGCTTGGCGCGATTCAGGTTGGCGAGGTTGCGTCGGACCAAAACTACTCGTCTCCGTCTCGGGTGCTCTTATCAGTTCTACTGATTTGATAGATGCCGGTTTAGGGTGGGGCCCTGCCACTTTGGCTTGATCTTGCTTGAGCGCTTTGAAGCCACTTTTCAACTGCACGACTTTCAGCAGTACCGAAGTGTGTCTCTTGTGGAAACCTGCAAATCAATTTTCAGACCAAGACTATAAACCAAAGGCCACAAACCAAAAGCTTCAGCCAAGCAAAAGTCCATGCCTTGTCCCAGCTGTGCGCATCTCCTTCAGGTATTCGAGAGTGACAGTCTGTGTTTTGTTTTGCTCAGGAACTTGAGCTTGCTGCTGCTGATTTGGAACTGCCTGTCCTTGCCCATCATGTTCACCAAAGGCCAAAGCATCTCAGCTGCAGAAGGTGGCAAACACCTGGGATAAGACGTAGCAAGTTTAGGAGATTTGTCGGAGCGTGGCTGGCTACGCAGTCATGTGTGGTCAGAGTTGTGCTACCAGACTCTTGAGTTCTTCTTTGAAGGCAGCATCACGTACTGTTCAGCACATGGAATCAATCACGTGCTGTTGCCTACGTGTGTTGAAGTGCAATGATTCGTCACGACTCTGTGTCTTGCCGCGACGTGGGCGTGCTGCATCTTCTTTGGCAAGCAAGAAAGTCCCAACATTTTCTCGCAAAGCGTGTTCATGATGTGTCCGGTGATGTGGACAACGACGGCGCTTCGCTATCACGGCAGAGGTAGTGCGCGGTTGGCACGTCTCCAAGTGGTTTTACTGCCGGGTATGCGTCCTCTCTGATCAATCGGGAAATTCAACGGTCAACGCGCTTCGCTGAGGCTCAAGTGGCGATCGAAAGGTCGAGGTCAAGGAGTCGGACTTGGTGCTTTCAGCTGCCTGGACGCAGGTGTCGACAGGGTTTTGCAGGGTACTGTATCGGTTCTGGGCAGGCCCCTATCGTTTTTTTGGGGCGGTACTCATACGCGTCGCCGTGGGCTCTGGTGAACTTGAACTGTGTTGAGATAAGATGCCTCCTTCATTTATGTTTGACAAAGCAGAAACAGTTTAAGAAGAGCAAACCGTTTGGTTTGTCTACCCGGCAAGTCAAATAATGTTGTTGCCCAGACACTTGATGTAATTCTTTGTGGTTGGTGGCTTCTTATGGGTGGTGCTTGACACACATTGTAGTATGCATTGATTGTTTCCTATGCGAGTGTACCCAAGATGCGAACTCTGAGCCGATGATTGTGGTTGACACGGCGATTTTTCCCACATGCTCACTGCATTGGATGGAGAGGTCATTCGAATTGCATGGCTGTTGGTTTAGGTGATTAAAAAAAAAAAAAAAAAAAAAAAAAACGACTATTTGGTGAGCTTGGTGAGATTTTTTCGCCGCCAGTTGCAATCTTGCAAAGGAACCCATGCGGCTAAGGGGGGCATCCACCATAGATTGCTGAAACTTGGCACAAGCCTCGACCAACCTGCAGTTGCAGACTCGTGTACAACCTTCAGCGAATCTGCTCCTTATCACAGAAGCCTCCAGGTGAGAATGCCTGGTCAAGGACCAAACCACTCCCCCAAATCAAGTTTGCACCACACCAATTCCCCCAAGCCAAGTTTTCACCAAACCAATTCCCCCAAACCAAATTTTCACCACACCAATTTCCCCAAACCAAGTTTCACCACACCAATTCCCCAAAACCAAATTTGCGCCAAACCAATTCCCCCAAATCAAGTTTTCACCGAACCAATTTCCCCAAACCAAGTTTTCACCGAACCAACTCCCCCAAACCAAATTTGCACCAAACCAACCAAATATGCACCAAACCAATTCCCCCAAACCAAATTTTCACCAAACCAACTCCCCTAAACCAAATTTGCGCCAGGCCAATTCCCAAATCAAATTTTCACCGAACCAATTTCCCCAAACCAAGTTTTCACCAAACAAATTCCCCCAAATCAAATTTGCACCACACCAATTCCCCCAAACCAAATTTTCACCAAACCAATTCCCCCAAAACAAATTTGCACCACACCAACTCCCCCAAGCCAAATTTGCACCACGCCAATTCCCCCAAACAAAATTTTCACCAAACCAATTTTCCCAAACCAAATTTTCACCAAACCAATTCCCCCAAACCAAGTTTTCACCAAACCCATTCCCCCAAACAAAATTTTCACCAAACCAATTTTCCCAAACCAAGTTTTCACCGAACCAATTCCCCCAAGCCAAATTTTCACCAAACCAATTCCCCCAAACCAAATGTTCACCAAACCAATTCCCCCAAGCCAAATTTGCACCAAACCAATTTTCCCAAACCAAATTTTCACCGAACCAATTCCCCCAAGCCAAATTTTCACCACACCAATTGCCCCAAACCAAGTTTTCACCAAACCAATTCCCCCAAATCAATTTTTCACCAAACCAGTTTCCCCAATCCAAATTTTCACCAAACCAATTCCCCCAAGCCAAATTTGCACCAAACCAATTCCCCCAAACCAAATTTGCACCAAACCAATTCCCCCAAAACAAATTTGCACCACACCAACTCCCCCAAACCAAATTTGCACCACGCCAATTCCCCCAAACCAAATTTTCACCAAACCAATTCCCCCAAACCAAGTTTTCACCAAACCCATTCCCCCCAACCAAATTTTCACCAAACCAATTGCCCCAAGCCAAATTTGCACCGGCCAAACCAATTCCCACAAACCAAATTTTCACCAACCCATTCCCCCAAAGCCAAATTTTCACCGAACCCATTTCCCCAAACCAAGTTTTCACCACACCAATTCCCCCAAACCAAGTTTTCACCAAACCAATTCCCCCAAACCAAGTTTTCACCAAACCAATTCCCCCAAACCAAATTTTCACCAATCCAATTTTCCCAAACCAAATTATCACCAAACCAATTTTCCCAAACCAAATTTCACCAAGCCAATTTTCCCAAACGGAAATTTTCACAAACCAATTTTCCCAATTTCACCAAGCCAATTTTTCCCAAGCCAAATTTCATCAAGCCAATTTTCCCAAGCGAAATTTTCACCAAACCAATTTTCCCAAGCTTTTGTTTTTCGCGCAAAAGCTCTCTATCGACATCGCGCCTTCCAAACGCTCCCTTGGCGCGACAGCTGAGGTGAGGAGCTGCAAAGAGCTGGGGACGGACGCACGCGATCGGTTTTTGCAGATCTACACGAAGCGGCTCAGAGTGGAACGGGGTGGAAAATTCAAAGCGACGTGCACAAAGAAAATGCGACCCTCCGAAAAATCATTGGACGTGCGCAAGGAAAATGCAGAGCACCCTCCCACCAATTCCCACCAATAGCATGGAATTTGACAGGGGGTCCCTTTAAAAGGAAGATGGTGTTCCAGCACTCCCCCTGTCAGGCTTCAGGTTAATTGGTGGGAGGATGTTTGTCGCAAAGAGCGTTGTATCCAGCCCGTGGCACACTGCACAGTCTGCGAATTGCTACCCCCGCTATAACGACAAACCAGACCGCCTCTTGCCCCCGCAAGGTACCCAATTGCCTGAAAGAAAAAAAACACTGCAGAACCTGGAATGTGTTTGATGATATATGCATCGCTCATGGTTCATTTCCTACAACACGGACGCCCCTGAACACGGGACCCTTTTGTTTTTATTGCGCAACGGCATTGGTTTCTGGAAGGGGTGAACTTTTTGGCCCGACACTGCGTAGACATGGAACTCTGGCTGACTCGGAACATGACCCGAGCTCAGAACATGACCCGAGGCACGGCTTCTGCATCCTTGAGTGCGAGGCTGGGGTCAACGGGCGGGGCATGGGGCGCTCGAATTGTTAGCTTCACGCCAGCCTCCCTTCAAACATGTGGGCAGGGTTTTTTTGAGGGACCCCCAAAGTGTTGTTGTTTGTTGTCGGTATCGGCCCCAAATAGTATTGGGTTTAATTTGACGACGGGTGGCCCGGAAGCATAGAAAGACGTTAAAATAAACTCTGACACCTCTCCCACTGCAGGTCAGAAACAAGCGTAAACAAATCAATGTCCCTTCGTAGCTGCTGCAAGTTCTGATGAGCAAGCTTGGCGCCGCGATTCGAGAGAATAATCTTCTGTCAAATTCTTTTGCGCGCTACGCGGTGTTTTCTGCTGCGCGTGAAGCTACGCGTGATGTTGCGCGTGATGCTGCCCAGGCATGATGTTGCACACGATGCTGAGACGTCGCGCGCGACGCCGTGCATGATGTTGCTCATGATGCTACGCGTGACGGTCCCTCTCGCGCATGATGCTGCGCAACCTCTCTCACCCAACCTTTCATGCCCCTTTCTCTTGCCAACCTCTGTGCCCCATATCTGCGTGCAGTTTTGGCTGCGCAAGAAGGCTGGCGGGTTTAGTTGCAGAAGTGTACATGGCACACTACTTTTTTTTGCCCCTGCAGGTTGCGATTTTCGAGCTGGAGATACGAGAGCGCAATCATAGTCGCGCTTAAAATTTGAAGTTGCGATGTTCGAGCTGGAGCTGCGAGAGCGTGCTTCGCATGCTACCTTTGCGCGAAAACACTTACGACTTCGCAGCCGGAGCGGGAGCTGCTGCGGGAACGCACTTCGCGTACAACTGTGGCCGGAGCCATGGGAACGCGCTTCGCGCGCCACTTTTGCACTTAAAAGTTGCGATTTTGCAGCCGGAGCTCTCTGAATGCTCTTCACGTACTTTTGTACTTAAAAACTTGCGAATTTTCAGCCGAAGCGCTGCGGGAACGCACTTCGCGTGCTACTTTTAGCCGCGCCTCTGGAAATGCTGTTCACGTACTGTTCACGTACTACCTTGGTACTTAAAACTTGCGATTTGTCAGCCGGAGCTGTGGGAGTGCACTTCGCGTACTACTTTCTGTGCCTACAATTCGCGGTTTGACAGCCGTGCCTCTGGAAAGGCTCTCAGCCGGAGCTGCGGGAATGCGCTTCGTGTACCACTTCCTAGGGCTTCAAGAACCTGTAAAAATGTCGTACCCTGCCTAAAACATCGTGTTTTTTCTCGATTTTCTGAAAACATCGTGTTTTCAGGAAAAACATCGTGTTTTTGATAAAACCCCTTAAAAATGGGCTTCTGAGGCCAAACACTCATTTGGAGCAAAGGGTCAAAGGCAAGGGTCGGGAGTGGATTCACACAGACATCACCCATTAAGATTTCAACTGAGGGCAACGCTCTATACTGAGTATGCTTCAAATTCTAAGGACCACATTGATGAGCCTGACAGCCAGGGTGTGCAGCTGGCTTCAGTCTTGAAGTACCTTTCACAGCAACAGGCACCTGAAGACTGGCGCCAGGTCATACCGAACCAGTTTGAAGGGGGTGCTGGAATCCGAAAGCTCCTTTTGGTGCAAAACAAGACCAGGTGACACTTTTGAGATTGTTTTTATCAATTTTGAGTTTTTTTTTGCAAATGGGGCGGGATCCTGGCGGCTAACCGCAGAAACCCGCAGAAAACCCTAGAAACCCATAGACAACCCGTAGAAACCCGTAGAAAGCCCGCAGCCCCAACCGAAAACATCGTGTTTTTGGAAAACATCGTGTTTTCTAACCCGTAGCTAAACCGTGGAGAACCCGTAGTAAAGCGTGGCAAAGCGTGGAAATTCTATGGGTTTTTCGGGTTCAACCACGAATGCGCTAATTCGAGAATGTTGCTGGAAAACAACGAAGTCGTGAGCAAAAGCACGGTCTTTGCTTGAGCTTGCGCGCTGTTCGAAGCCAGCACGCCCTCATCATGGCACTGCTGCTTGACAAGTGTCATAAAACCGTGGTACTTTTGACTATTTGGGTCCCCGGCCTCCTTCTTTCAGGTTGGAGTTGCGAAAGACGAGTGGCGAATGCGAAGCTGATTTCGTTGCGAGTGCAAAAGGGGAGGGCGATGGGAGATTCTGAGGTTGAGATGATGCTTTTGAGATCTTTTGAGAACGGATGACGAGTTGAAGGAATGTATGGGAAACTGCTTGAAATCGAAAATGCGGTGTTTCCCGAAAACATCGTGTTTTCCCAAAAAACATCGTGTTTTTTGTAGGTATGACATTTTCATCGGTTTTTGAGGCTCCTGGTTATGTACTTACAATTTGCGATTTCGCAGACGCGCCTCTGGAAATGCTCTTCACGTACTTCTTTGGTACTTAAAACTTGCGATTTGTCAGCCGGAGCATCGGGAATGACTTCGCGTGCTACGTGTACTTACAATTTGCAATTTCGCAGACGCGCCTCTGGAAATGCTCTTCACGTACTTTGGTACTTAAAACTTGCGATTTGTCAGCCGGAGCACTTCGCGTGCTACGTGTACTTACAATTTGCGATTTCGCAGCCGCGCCTCTGGAAAATGCTCTTCACGTACTTCTTTGGTACTTAAAACTTGCGATTTGTCAGCCGGAGCATCGGGAATGACTTCGCGTGCTACGTGTACTTACAATTTGCAATTTCGCAGCCGCGCCTCTGGAAATGCTCTTCACGTACTACTTTGGTACTTGAAACTTGCGATTTGTCAGCCGGAGCTGCGGGAGTGCACTTCGGGAGTGCACTTCGTGTACTACTTTTGTACTTACAATTTGCGAATGTCGTGCCGGACCTGCGGAAGCGAACTGCGCGTACTAACGCGCGATCGTGAAAGCAGACGCGCGAACCATGAGACAACTTCCAAACGCTGGTTCGCAAGCAAAGAAAACAGAAAAATCGAACGGCGCCGCAGCCCTAAGTCTCGGGTATTGGTTTTTGCCAATCTCGCTCGGTTTTCAAAAAGGAAGCCAATCCTCGCTCGGTAATGTACAAATTTTGGATTTTCCCATCTTGTTCGCTCAAACAATATTAGCATTAATTTTCCAAGAAAATATTGATAGCTAAATATTGATATTTTTACATGTTTTCATGTGATGAAGAAGTTGCATTGTGTTTGCTCTTGGGGTTCCTATACTTGGGACTGCAAAGTCCAAGGAAGGACTGCAAAATCCAATGGGGTCAGGGGTGGACTGAAAAGTCCACGCAGGATTGCAAAAAAGGCCAGAGCAAGACAAGCTTGAGCAGATTGTCAAATGCAAAGCTTAAGGATAGGATTGTCCATGGAACTCGGGGCCCTTTGTCCGAGCCAATTATTTTGACGGTGTACTAGGGATGTTTATAGTCAGAATTGGGGTTGTCTCCATCTAACCCTTTGCAAGACTCAAAAGGCTAGGCTTGGTTGTTTAAGCAGTTGCCGAACCCTGGCTGCCCAGCCCTGGATGATGTCTTCTTTTCTTTTCTGCCTCCAGCTATGTAAGATGCCTGCTGGGCTGGATCGTTTGCAAAAAGAAAGTGGGCGGGCAAAAGCCGCTGCTCTGAACCTGCGCCCCGCGCATGAGGATTCGGACTTCGAAGCGTTGGACTCCGTGGGCGTAGCGCATGCTGCCTGCGCAGAACAGGCGGGGAGTGGGGGTTGGGGAGTGCTTTCGGGCGTGTGATTTGGCCTCAGATCGATCAACCCTTCACAAGGTTCGGAAAAGGGTGTGTAAGACAAACAGGTGTTGATGTTGTTTTTCCTTCTGCATGACGGTAGTGATATAGTAAATCTCAGGACATGAACCTCGTGAAGATTCCTATAGGGATGATGGACGCCATTTGATCAAGCCACGATCGAGCCGATGTAGTCGCGTCGCTGTGAAATTGCCTTGCTAACAGCCCAACCACAATTCCGCCTGCCTTCAATCTACTAGATGTACCCACCCAAATCAATATCCGCTGTAACAAAGGCTGTAAACGCTTAGTCAAATTGATTTGACCCACACCTTCATCCGCTTTTCGCCCAGGTTTGACGCCTGTCACGTTCACAAACTTAGGGGAAAAACATTGTCATGTTTTTGTTTCGCTTAGAAGGAAGTTCCGTTTCAGTTTGCTTCCAAGATGTTGGGGACTTGGCGAACCAGGGAACTGTTTCAGGACTACGTCAGAACAGGGGGCCAACAAAAACACTGTGTGCCATCATCTCTGTGTGTCCCGCTTTGAGATGGAGAACCCCTACCTGGCAGTTTTTGGCATCCGAGTTGTTTTTTTGCCCCATTGTTGACCTGGCATAGTGCTTTCATAGCAAAAACTTGGACGTGTCACTTGAGCGCAATTGTCCGCCACACGGGCGCAATGAATTCCAAGATGCAACAGCCCATGTACACACACACACCAAAAATAAACAAACTCGCATGTTTGCTTTCGCCCTCATCCGCGGTTAGCTCTCGATGCCACGTTGGTTCGCGTCAGGACTGCACAGTGGTCTTGGGGTCGCGGAGCGTGCAGCTGAAGACCTCCCAAGTCCTCCTCATGGACCAGGCACGGGCCTGTGCCCGATTTTGCCGGGACCCAATTTTCAAACACCAATCTCTTCTGTTTGGTTTTTCTAAGGTTCCCTAGAAATGGCCAGAGTCAAGGATATGATTTTGGGGCAGGGGCGAAGCTGTGGCTTTGGCTTGGCTGTTCGGGTTTGCTGTAAGTCAGCACTCCCTCCCACCTTGGGGGGGCGGCTGGTGTCCCAGCAGAACACTCACAAATGGCTGGTCAGCGCTTTCGTGCGAGTCTTTCCTGAATTTCCTTGGCTGAGCGGGACTACAGGGGAAGGCGGTCTAAATGATAGGTTCTGAGATTTGGATTTTGCAAATATGCTGGGGTGTCTAGATATTAGTGTAAAGGTACGGCCCTAAAAAGTGTGTAGAATTGGCTTCAAGAGAGTAGGAACATGCAGCATTGACTCGAATGGATCGAATGCTGAAGCATGTGGCTATCAGTTTAAGTACCGATGACCCGGACTTAGGCCCAAGATCCTGGTATTCTGCTTTAGTTCTTGTGTAAAAGCACAAAAGGCCCTACGTGCTTCCTAGTCAGAAGGTATCTATCAAGACATCTATCCAACCAGCGGCAAGGAGGCCAGAGGATGTCCAACCACATAAGCCTTGGCTTGAACAAACCAGCAAGAAGCAAACCAAAGAGGTTAGGCTTGTTTGGTGTTTGTAGTAAGATGTTTGTTTGGAGTCTTTGACTGAGTTGCACAAGAGGATTTTCGGGGAGCAGGGGGCCCTTTGTCAAGCAGGCCCACAATACAGACCACACGGGCACTGGTTTTGCATTCCAGGGGTTCTTGCGCTTTGTTTGTTCGAGAAGCTTGACACTTTAGGTCCTGCACGACTTTCCAACGTCAAGCTCAGGCCCATAAAGTCGCGCCTCACAGCGGCCTTCGGATGATCATGACCTGTGAGCAGGTGTAAAGGCTGAGCCCGAAAGGGCTCGTGTACAGCTGTACAGCTTTATACCATGAGCGGCTCGACAGCGAAGCCCATGCTTCGAACTTGGTGAGCCAGACATCCACTAAAGAGTGGCGCGAATCGACCATGTTTCCTTAGGGTCTGATTTAATTAGAGATGGCTCAAGACAGCTCACCGCATCTCGCGGGACTCTAGGAGCAAACCTTGCGGCAGGAAACGAATTCAATTTTGCGACGCCACGGTTGGCCAGAGAGCTCAAGCCGCAGGCAAGTCTGCATGTCATTGCGCACAGTTCAAGCAGGGGAGGTAGAGCACCGTTGCTTGAAAACGACTCAAACCCAGGTTTTTGACGTCTGATTCTTGACAACATTTGGATCCCCCCCCAAAAATAACCCGGGAGTCGGGGTTCCTACCTGGGCTACTGAAGCCGGTCCGAAGTCGGAATCCAGCGACCGGAAAAGGGGAAGGAGAAAAAAAACGGAGCCATTGAAGCTGATGTGCGCAACCCTGCCACTGAATATTGCAGAAACATGTGTTGCGAAAATGGCCTTTCTGTCGAGCAAAAGGTATATATGGCCATAAATCTCAATAGGGAACCCCCTCCAAAGTGGTTGGTGGACATGGAGCCCCACCGAAATGATGTCCACCAAAGGGTCCCCAATTGAAATTCGGACCCATGTTGATGTGTGCCATCCAAGTGGTACAGCAGAGCGTGGCAAGGACCTCGGGAGCAGCAGCAGAAGCAGGTGAAGAGCTGACACATGCCCAAAGAGAAGTCATTCGGAGATGTCATTTGGGTATGGGTCGAAATTAAACCACCAGGGGACCACAGGTTTTAGTCATTGTTTCCATTTACCAGGGTGCCCTGTTGGGTACCGATTTTTGACCCACAGCCATTTCACTTCTGATTCTCGCGGGCTCAAGCACTTTACAATTTTGCCTATCTTTGTAGTTCGGCACGCCAATGCTTGCACGCACCATTGTGATCACGATCTCGGCCCTTGCGGCTAGTCGTGCCCATGAGGCCTGCGAAAACGGCGGCACGGAGTGCGCGGATGTTTGGGATGTTCAGGGTATGCTGCAGCTCGCTTCACCAGCAAGCGCGCCAGCAGCAGGTTTTCCCAAAAGGAAGGGAACGAAGAAGAAACATCCCAAGCATTCAACACCAACGCCGATCTCAAAGAAAAAGTTTACTCCAGAAGTATGGGCGCCTATTCATGAAGCCGTCCGAGCACCTGTGCAACTGACCTGTGAGGCGTGGGGGGTGAAAAATGGAGACACGCAGTTAATTATTCTGGGTGCCGTTTTCTTAACACGGGGTCGTTTTTATACTCGCAAGTCATCTGAACCCATACACAGCGTGTTCAGTTTTTCAAAGTTGATTAGTTTCCTAGGTCCCCCAGCAATGCCCTTTTTAACCCCTTTTTTGGGGCAGGGTTCCCCTACTAAAATAGACTACAGAAAGAAAGAAAACATTGGTACCAACTAATTCTAAGCTCTCAAATCTGGAGGACCTAGTTTCAGTTGAAAGACCGCGGGTCTCAGGGAGAGAGCTTCCTGTCGTGCTGGACTTTCTTCACGGCGTCTGATCCTACCCATGGGGATGTAGAGTATGTGTCGGAGGAGGAGGCAAAGAGTCTGGGTTTGTTCCAGGTCAACGAGGGCGTGGTCCATCTTGGGAGCTTGGTGGGGCAGAACGGCCCTGCGAAGTCCATCCGTCTGCAGTCGGCCAACCGCTTTGGCGAGAGCCACATCTTTGTGATTGATATCAAGCACATGCCAACGGGCTTGGGGACCTGGCCTGCTTGGTGGTCCTATGGTCCGGATTGGCCCAACAACGGGGAGATTGATACCATTGAGACGGTGAATATTGAAGATCAGGCGCAGAGCACCTTGCATACGAGCTATGGCTGCAGAATGCCCATGGTTTCGGGGATATTTAATCCCGATTGCAACTCAGAGGATGCTTACGAGGGATGCGGCTTGTTTGGACCTTCCAACAGCGGAGGGCCACCCTTCAATTCAGCCGGTGGTGGAGTGTTTGCAACGCAGTGGATCAGCACAGGTATCAAAATGTGGTTTTGGAAACGGGCGGACATTCCCTCGGATATCACGAGCGACTCACCAGATTCAACAAGCTGGGGAGAACCCTACGTTTTCTTCCCTTTCGGTGACGACTGTCCTTCTTCACATTTCAAAGACCATGTCTTGACAATCAACTTGGACTTTTGTGGAGACTGGGCCGGAAACGTGTTTCCTGGGGGACTGGCGAAGTGTGTGGAATACATCCAAGATCCGGCCAACGCGGATCAGCTGAAGGATGCGTATTGGGACATCAACTATGTGAAAGTATTTGCCGCCGAAGCCACGATGGGCGTTTCTTCAAGACCGGATCAGACCGTCAACGCCATTGCAGGCTGAAGGGCATCATTTTTGCAAGTTTGGCGCATGCCGACAGTGGCATTTATTGCGGGGAGGAAGAGAAGAGAAGAGAAGAGAAGGCTTATGTTGATCGAGTGTAGTGTATAGGGATTTAATTGTCGCCGCAAATGCCACCTGTCTCTTAGTGCTTGAACATCCTTGAAATACGATTACATTCTAATATCTACAATCTATATGTATATGTATGATATATATAATAATTGATTATTAGATTGAAATGATATAATTTTGAATATATATATATATATATGTGTTTATATATTGAATATGTGTATTTGTATATAGTATGTAAACAATATGTTTGTTTGGTTAGATTTGTCTTAAATAATTGGATATGTTTTATGATAATATTTTTATTGTGGATTTTGGTATGATTTTTTTGATATTTATGGTTGGGTTTATATTTCTTTAGATAGCTGAAAGTTATAGGGGTTCTAATTTTAAGAAAGAAGGGAAAGTGGAAACAAGTTTATTTGCCTTTTTTCGAAAGGGACTCAGTTCTGGACAGATTTCTATTTGTTCCTCGGATAGCAAGTGGAGGTTTCTCATCAGGTGGCGCTGGGTCGCTGGCACTCGCTGGTGCTGGGGAGTGTAGTCTGGGCCTTCGGCTGGGGCCGCTTTGGCGTGCTGGGCCAGGGGGACTTCAACGACCACCACAGCCCGGTGAGGCGCGTTCTTTGCGGGGCGGGAGGCTGAGGGTGGGGGAGGGGGAGAGGTGGATGCGGGCTTGTCCAACTTGACCCTTTGAGCATCTCGCATCGTCGCGTGCCGGCCCCACATCCGCTTCACAACTCGATTGGCCCAAGACTTTGGCTCAGTGCCCAATTTCTTTCACACATGGCTAAGCTAGTGACAAATCCCCAGCGACTGCAGCAGGTCCTCAGCTATTTGCCTGCAAATGAGGCCTTTGGTGCAGCTAAGGTCTCTCAGGCCTTTCAGAAATCCCAAGCATGTCTTGATGCAAGGCTCTATTTGAGTCAAATCCGGCCAGATGCATGGCTACATAGAAACGAGTTGGACCAGGAGTTTAACCGACAATTGCTGCGTGATTGGCACTTGTGCCTAAGAGGCTCTGCACTGCAAGTCGCCTATGTCGACTACCACCAGCATCTCATCTATGTTGAGCCCAGCTGCTCATTGACAGCATCACCTCAACGCCAGGATCCCGTTCCAGTGGATGTGGACAGTCAAGATTACCGATGTTCCATTGAGCCTTTCGACTTGGACTGCTTGTGGTGGGACTGTCTTCAAGGAGAGCTTTTTGACTGGCCACGAGTCGAACAGTCGGATGCTCAATTTGGCTCAGCTCCTGCAGCAGGCTACCAGCCCCAAGCCAGGGAAGTGCCAGTGGAATCGTTCGAATTAGAGGCAGTGCCCGGGTATCATGGGAGTCTTGCGGCACCCAAGCTACCGGATGATGTCTTGGCGATTTTGTCTCTGAACGCAGCTTGGTTCAATTGCAGCTTCTGGGCGCGCGAACTCCAAGGCATTTTTCTCCCCCGCGTAGAAAGCAACAATAGTGAGGATTTTGAAAAACGCTTTGGACGTTTCTTGCGTGCATCCAAGTCATGTGACAAGGTCTTGTTTAGCACCTTGGAAGTGGACCACGAAGAGGGGCGCAAGCACCTCCAAGCTGGCGACAGAGTTCGAGTTCTGCGAGGAGGGAATACCTTCATTTGGAGTTCCTGTCGCTGCGGAGATTGGGCCGTACCACAGGGAGCTGTTTCACCTCAGCTTGATGCGGAATACCTGGAAAGAGCTTCTCAACAGGATTTGCGCTTCAACACCTTCTCTGGTGGTTGCCATTTGGGATTGCGCAGGAATCAATGGTATGATGCTGAAGTGGTCCATGTGAATGCTGATAACACTCTGGATGTGAAGTTCACGAATCCGGAAGAATGGTCAAGTGGAGCATCTGGCTTTACGGACGGCCGTGGAAATGACAGGAACGAAGCACCCATTGAAGCGGACGTTGCCATTGAGAGAGCGAAAGTGCTGCCGAAGAACAGATGGTACTCGGCGTTCCAAGCTGTTTGGAAAGAATGCCGTTGTTTCACTACTGTCAGCATGAGCTTTGGAGATGCAGGTCGTTCCGTCCATGGCTCGAACAATACAAGTGAGGAGGCTGAGATGAAAGAGGTAGATTCCAAAGCTGAGATTCGCTTCCTGAAACTGGCAGATGTGTTCGCCGACACTGCTGAGGCGCATCGTTTCAGATTCACGACGCTCTTTGAAGAGAAAGACATGTTGGCTGGGGAGGACCGGCAATCTATCGAGGAGTTGCACTCGACAGTTCCAGATGGCAGATATCCTCGAGGGGCTCACATGGCCTTGGGCAAGCGCCTGTTTCTGCAGCTGCTCCGCACCTCCTTTTGGGAAAAGTGGATCGCGCAGGGGGGCGAGAGCCCATCAAAAATCATCAATTTGTTCAATAATGACAAGTTTGTGCGGTTGGTCATTAGATAGTAGGGATGTAGCCACAGAGACTCTGAAAGAGACTGTAGGCTATGCGCGCGCTTTAGGAGTTTTTTTCCACGGACCCTTTTCCGGCTGCGCAGCTAACGCGGCTACGGGGTGAGTGTATGTGGAATACCGGTTCAAATTTGGAGCGTGAGAAAACATAACGGCAAGCCGACCTTGCTGGACGCGCTGTACAGTGTACAGAAGAGGACAACAAAAAGACAGATAGACAGGTACATAGTATTCGATAGATGGGTAGGCAGGTAGATAGCCTGGTGGACAATTCATGATGCTTCATTGCACCCAATATGTAACCCATTCGGGGCCATGGTTGTGGAAAATAGGGATTGTTGGGGCAACTTTCCGTGAAGAAGTCCCTTCAAAGTGATGATCTTTTGCGGATCGTCAAGATCGGCATTACGAAGGGTTGTGCTCCAATTACAAGTTTTACCTCAACACTTGTTCTACGCATATTTATCTCCGGGTCCCAAGTCTACAAAGATTCTAAGATGCCCTACATGTGTTCTATATATTTGGGATCCAGTACCTTCCCGGCAGGATCGACCTGCTAGAGCCGGTGCACTGCGTAGCCTCCGGCGCCGTGCATTGTGGGGCCATTTGCGGACCAAGGCGTCGGGGAATTCGGCTGCAAGCACCCCGGGACCCATAGTTTCCAGCTGGTAAGACCGGGAGACCCCAACATTTGTTCGGATGTCCCTTGAAGAGGGCTTCTTAGATTTAGCAAGCGTTGTCAAACTTGGATCGGACCCTAGGCTGTTGGATCCACCAGGCCATGCACCCATCCAGGGTGCCCTCAGGGAAACCAGCAGGACCTTGTTCGAAACATGTCCAGGCAAGAAGTTGACTCTACCCCGAGCCTTTTGAGCACGCCCACCTATGGCAAGCAGGGAGTTAGGGTATTCAAAAGGCTTGGGTTGGAAACAAGGATCCAGTCACCCAGAACCACCCAGCCCCGTCTCTGCCAGGCGGCAAGTTTTTCTCTGGGGCCGCGGCAGCCTGGGGCGCCTGGGATTCGGCGGCGAAGCCAACGTGCTGAAGCCCCGACCCTTGGATCTGGACCAGGCGAGAGGTCTGACGGCGAGAGGTCTTGCGCTTGGCGAGAGGTTCAAATTTAGAGACGTGGGTGGGAGGGTAAGTGGGGGGTGGGTGGGCGTAAATCGAAGAAATCTTGGTTGATGAGTGTACTCCTTTATGAGCATATTAATATTTTCTATGTTTGGTTTATTTGCTTTTAGTCGTTTTCGGGATTTTTTTTATGATTTTATTTTTTTTTAATTTATATGTTTTATTAATATTTAATGATTTTGTTTTAATTTTATTTGATTATTTATATTCCTTAGAAATTTTAATAATTAATAAATAAAAAGAAACGAAAAACAAATTATTTCTTTAATAAATTTGAGTGTTTTTATTATTATGTTTTTGTTTTGTTAATATGGGAATTGTTTTAAAGGTCCTTGTAAGGAGTTTAGTATTCGGTGACCATCGGTGTTGGTCGAGGTAGTTCCGCGAAAGATTCGCGATGGAGTTGTGAAAGTAATTTTTTTTTTCGCGAAAGTTTTGTGTAATTGTATTTGGTTAATTAATGATATATGGAATCGATTATCTTTTTTGCTGAGCTTTCTTTTTATTCTGATTAAAACACTTTGTTGATGTTGTGCTGATTAAGCCTGGTGAGGTTATAGTTTGATACCCTGCTTGGCTGGTTAGTGTTCCAAGTCTGTGTATGTGTGTATATATGGCTTTCCGCTTTGAAACATAGGTGATTTTTCGCGAAAGTTCTGCGAAAGATTTACGAAAGCCCGCGCGAAAGCGTAGGTTTCGATTGTAAGGGGAGGTAAAGTCTGAGCGCCGATTTAGTTAGTATATTAGTTTGGTATTGGAAATTTGCGCGCGAAAGATTCGTGAAAATAACTTTTATATTCGCGAAGAATGGCTATTTCGAGATAAAGGAATTTAGATTAACCACTATATTATTTTATTAGTTATTAAATTTTTATAATATGTTTTTTTTTTAATTTTTGATTTATAAAATTAAATTAATATTTTAATTTATCGAAATATATATATATTGATTTATTTCTCATGCTAACTTTTTGAGAATTGCTTCGCCTACCAACTCCTCATGCTAACTTTGCGAGAGTTACCTCATCTGCATCAACTTGCCTCTATGCTTCCGGGCTACTCATCGTCTAGTTATTCCGATAAAAAATTCCCCGAAAATAACGAGCCACGATTCTAAAATAAATTTATAATACCCAACAAATTACCAAAACAAAAAGAAAAATGTAAATGTTGTTTTAAATAACAACAAATCCATTTCCTCGAACAACATTTCTATCATATTAAATTTTATAAATTCATAAAATCAAACAAATGTAAGTAACTCTCGAATAGTTGGCGGGTGAAGTAATTCTCGCAAAGTTGACATGAGAAGTTGGTAGGCGAAGTAACTCAAGAGAAAAATTGGTATGAGAAGTTGGCAGGTGAAATAACTCTGAGAAGTTGGTAGGTGAAGTAGCTCTCGAAAAGTTGGCGTGAGAAGCTGGCAGGTGAAGTAATTCTCGAAAAGTTGGCACGAGAAGATGGCGCGTGAAGTAACTCTCGAAGCGTGAGAAGCCGGCAGATGAAGTAACTGTCGAAAAGTTAGCATGAGAAGTTGGCAGGCGAAGTAATTCTCGAAAAGTTAGTGCGAGAAGTTGGCAGGCGAAGTAACTCTCGCAAAGTTGGTAGGCGATGTTGGCAGGTGAAGTACCTCTCGAAAAGTTGGCATGAGAAGCTGGCAGGTGAAGTAATTTTGCGAAAAGTTGTCACGAGAGGTTGGCAGATAAAGTATTTCTCGAAAAGTTGGCATGAGAAGTTGGCAGGTGAAGTAATTCTCGAAAAGTTGGCAGGTGAAGTTGCCACGAGAGGTTGGCAGGTAAAGTATTTCTCGAAAAGTTGGCATGAGAAGTTGGCAGGTAAAGTAATTCTCGAAAAGTTGGCATGAGAAGCTCGCAGGTGTAGTAACTCTCGAAAAGTTGGCATGATAAGCTCGCAGGTGAAGTAACTCCTCGAAAAGTTGGCACGAGAAGTTGGCAGGTGAAGTAACTCTCGAAAAGGTGGCATGAGAAGCTGGCAGGTGAAGTAATTCTCGAAGTTTCGGCGTGAGAAACTGGCAGGTGAAGTAATTAACCCTCAAAAAGCTGGAGCGGCGGAGGCGCTCCGCGTGCTACATTTGCAATTTACAATTGCGATTTTCCAGCCATTTGTATCTAAAAGTTGCGATTTTCCAGCCGGAACTACGGGAGTACGCTCCGCGTACTACGTCTGTACTTAAAAAGTGCGATTTTCCAGCCGGAGCTGCAGCAGCCTCCGCGTACTACGTCTGTACTTAAAAGTTGCGATTTTCCAGCCGGAGCTGCAGGAGCACGCTCCGCGTACTACTTTTGTACTTAAAAGCTGCGATTTTCAAGCCGGAGCTGCCGCGGACCAGGGGGGAATCGAACCCGGGACCGCGGGATTGCGAAAGCAGGCGCGCGCACCACGAGACAACTTCCAAAAGCCGTTTCGCGAGCAAGAAAAACGCACGGCGCCACAGCGAGAGCGCTTCGACACGCACGATCTCCGCAGAGGGTTCATCGGGCTCAAGACAGCTGCGCACGGCGCCACAGCGAGAGCGATCCGACACGCACGATCCCCGTAGAGGGTTCGCCAAGCTCAAGACAAATTCGCACGGCGCCACAGCGAGAGCGCTTCGACACGCACGATCTCCGCAGAGGGTTCACAAGACAAATTCGCACGGCGCCGCAGCGAGAACGCTTCGACACGCAGGATCTCCGTAGAGGGTTCGCCAAGGTCAAGACAAATTCGCACGGCGCCACAGCGAGAGCGCTTCGACACGCACGATCTCCGCAGAGGGTTCGCCAAGGTCAAGACAAATTCGCACGGCGCCACAGCGAGAGCGCTTCGACACGCGCCACTGCGAGAGCGCTTCGACACGCACGATCTCCGCAGAGGGTTCGCCAAGGTCAAGACAAATTCGCACGGCGCCACAGCGAGAGCGCTTCGACACGCAGGATCTCCGCAGAGGGTTCGCCAAGGTCAAGACAAATTCGCACGGCGCCACAGCGAGAGCGCTTCGACACGCACGATCTCCGCAGAGGGTTCGCCAAGGTCAAGACAAATTCGCACGGCGCCACAGCTAGAGCGCTTCGACACGCACGATCTCCGCAGAGGGTTCGCCAAGGTCAAGACAAATTCGCACGGCGCCACAGCGAGAGCGCTTCGACACGCACGATCTCCGCAGAGGGGTGCGTTTCGTAAGCTCCCGTCGGGCCTACCCCCGCCATAAAAAGAAGAAGAATTAAGAGTCGAGATGTGAAGGTAGAACAGAAAAGTTAGCTTGTGTTTTTAGGATAGTGAAGTAACACCCGACAAATTAGCTTGTGCTTTTAGTAGAATGAGATAACAGCCGAAAAGTTGACATGAGAAGTTGGCAGGTGAAGTAACTCTCAATAAGTTGACATGAGAAGTAGGCAGGTGAAGTAACTCTCGACAAGTTGGCATGAGAAGTTGGCAGGTGAAGTAACTCTCGACAAGTTGGCATGAGAAGTTGGCAGGTGAAGTAACTCTCGACAAGTTGGCATGAGAAGTTGGCAGGTGAAGTTGGCAGCCGCTTTTAGAAGAAGAACCCTTCGCAATGCTTCCGGGAAAAAGGAAATGAAAAAAGAGAAACGATAAAAACTCGGATGGTAGGGACTTAGTAGCGGAATTCATTTAATCGCGGCTTAATTATGGTTTAATTGCCGTTTAATTGCGGAATTCGTTGGCGAAATTTCGGTTTATAGCTTTTATTTAGTCTTTGCTAATAATTAGATTTAGAAAGTATTATTTGGGTCTGTTAGACAAAAAATAATACCTAGGGTTCTAGAAGGAATTTTCGAGTAAGCTTACGTAGTTAAAATTAGCGATATGTATCGGGATATTTTAGAAAGGATTTTTTAGATTTGTTTTAGACTTATTTTAAATTTGTTTTAGATTTGTTTCTTAGAATGAACAAAACAATCGAAAAAAAAAATAGAAATAAAGCAGACTCGGTAATAAAATATCGTTAATATAATGCTAACGGTTATATTAAAATAACATTCTTATTAAGACTAATAACAAAAATAATAACTCCTGAGAACAATGATA